ATCTCTCGTTCATGGTTTCGGGTCTTTTTTTTGGGATTTTTCCGGGTTTTCCGGACCAGATGCCTTCCTTGACCTTCTCACGCAATAAAGATTATTGTGCGCGCGCATTTAGAATAACAAAAAACGAAGAACTGAAGAAAAAAAATGGCCCCGCAAGTGGGCGGGCCTTCAAGTTAAGTTTTAAGTTAAGTTATAAAAATATAGCAAACAGCTCCTTGAAACAGAAAGCAGTCCCAGAGTGGATGAATCGTTTTGTTCATTTCCGTTTTCTCGTAAGTTCAACTTGAAGAAAACTTTCTTTTAAATTCCTTTTTTGTCATACTGTGAACTCTGCTTCAGATCAACTTTATTTTTCATTAACATTGAAACGTTGCAAGAATTTCACTGCAACTTATTGGTGCACAATGGGAATATATCAAACGATGGTGCAGTTTTTCTTGTCCTGGTATGGGTTATTCTGCTCGTTCAAAGCCCCATTGAGCATGACGTCTTCCTTCTTGTGCTCCTCGCAGAACTTGATGAGGCTGAAAATGTTTCTCATTACAAAAGAAGAGGCTCAGAGAAGTATTTACTCCTTGGAAACAGTGGACACTTTTTCCCGTTTGAGTTTGCTTTCCACACGGAGTTGATCAACAGCAGCTTGAACTCTTTCCATCTCCGTCGGTACCTCCGGCTGGAACATCTTTATTGAGTCTTTATAAAGTATAGGTAAAAAAAAAGAAGAGAAATAGTTTGAAGAAAAACCCGGTAAATCAGCTTTTATAGTATTTTCTGTGTTGCTAAGATACGAGTGGAGACTGTTGACTAAGATGTTGGGGCGGGACTTCAAAAACGTCTACTCGGTCTTGATGAGATAACATCGTCGGCTCAATCAAGCGTGAAAAAGTCTGACGTTCAGTAATGTGCATTTTCCGATGACTAAAAGAAGTTTCCATAGAGAAAGAAACGTTTTATCATTGGTAAGCTAATTGAAGGAAAAGAAGACCTGAAGATAATCGTTGTAAGCAGTGCCGACGACAGCAGGAGGAACGTTTCTCGGCCTATTCATCTGAAAAAAAATAAACAAGAGGTAAAAAGATAAAGCCAGCTCAGAAGATACTAAATCAGCAAAATAAAGTCACGCCAGCTCGCAACAGTTAATTGACGACTAATTGTTTAGTTGACCGGTGAATCATTAAAGGATTGACGCGAGTTCAATTATCCCGAGGCTGGCATCACGAGGCAGACAACGGTGGTACTTTTGAGAAATGGACTAATTGAAGTTGGAAAGCTGAAGAAATTACAATCTCATCATAAAGAGCTATGAACTTTACGGTTGTGGTTCCGAAGAGTTAAAGGAACATTTCCAATGTGCTGAAAATGAATTTCACACCGCATCGACCTACTCAATCATCTTTTTCATAATTTTCAACTTTTTGAGCCCACAAAAATTATTAATACTATTTTTTTCCAATCGTTTGATAACTTTCACTTATTTAGCCGCTTATCAGAGTCTTTTTCCATTGATGAATCCACTTCTCAGAAACGTTTTCGAACGGAAAAGCGAAAAAAATCGTTTCGCTCTTTTTGATAAATCATATTTTTTTATTCACGCAGGTTGATCGATATCATATTCTGAAGATTTCCAGAGATTCTGCAACCTCGTAATGTTTGAAGGAAGTTTCAACTATTTGATAGAAGATATTCTTTTATTTTTGTACTAGCTTTTTCCTTGAATACTTCTTTCAAATGTATGTCTGCAAAATTTTATATGAATCACTCATTCTCATTTTTTCCACTCAGACAAGTTCCGAAAATTGTTGAGTTCTGTTTGTTTTGATCAGCCAGTACGTGACGACAAGGGCTGCGCGACGGCTTGGAAACGCATGACTTGTCTACTTTCCTGCGTAGTTTTGATTAGTCAGTGACATGGAAAAATGATCAAAAAACAGAAAATCCGTCATTTTTATCTGAAAATAGGATTCATCAAAATGAAATGATGATTTTTTTGTCAATAGAAAGACATTTTTTACTCGGTAAATGACGTCATTCCTTGCATTTCGATATTCACAAGAACTTTTTTCACCATTCTAATACTCTGAGCGTAAGAAGAAAAGCTGGAGAATTCTTACAAGGATCGCTGGAAACCTACTGAAAGCTTGGAAAAAGCATGAAGTACTCCATAAAGCTTCTGAACGGCATGCAAATCAAAAAATTGTTCGATTAATCAATTCTCTCTGAGAGTTTGGAAGGACCGTAGACATAAAGTGTGTGAAAAACTATAAAAACAACGTGCGAGGTCAACTTAAAAATCAACTTCGGGCTCTATTGATCAGTTCGGGCTCGAAATATCAAGGCTCGTAAGATCATGGGCTCACTTTCGGGCTCGAAAGATCAGGCTCGAAAGAATGTAGGCCGTGTTGGTTCGGTCCCTAGTATCGAATCAGAACAGAAACCTGTATCGAGTCATCCCTGTCGGATGCAAATATATTTTTTTATTTTTTTCAAATAATAAATATTTAAAAAAATCTGAATAAATTTGACAGACATCGTTGTTGTAATGAAGATGCTCTTTATTGATCTTTTTTTCTTGAATATAATAAATATGAAAAAGAGTTTCTATCATTTTTTTAAGGCTTTTTTTAGAAATTTTTTTGATACTAGGAGAAATGCAAAAAAGGTTGGCGCTCGACAGGAACCGAACCTACTAAAATATGTCGTTCTTGAGACTGGCCCTAAGTCCACTGCGCCAGGCCAACTCGAAAGGGAGGAAGCTTCAGAATTGTGAAGAACTCTTTCTGGATTTCTTCAAGAAGTTTTTTTCAGTGGCTATGGGCTTATTTTTCTGTCTTCGTTTCTAGGAGCTTTCATCTAACACGGGAAGTGCGAAAGGTCGAGGTATTGGAATTTAATGAAACTTGGTATATAGGTACTACCGAAGACCCTGAATCCAAAAAAGTTGAAAAAAAGTGCGCCTTTTTGGTTCTGGTCGAGTTAGGGCGCCTCAAAGTTTGCACGCAAAAAAATGCATTGGAAGGGAGGAGGAAATGTGTTGCGGAGGCTAACTCTAGCTTCCAGCAGGCGGCGTGGTGTAGTGGATAGCGGTCTCCACTGGGGAACCTATGATGCAGGTTCGGACCCTTTTTGGTGAAATTTTTTTTGCCATGAAGTTTTTCGAAAAAATTGATGAATTTTTGAAGATGGAACGAAAAATACTGTTCAAAGTGTGAAATTCTCTATTTAATGTCGTTTTGAGAAAGACTTTCAACAAAAAAACTTTTTTAGTCTTTTTTGTCCCGTCCTGCTCTGTGCACGAAATTTGGGCGTCGAGATTATTCTTGCGAGAGCTCATAGGTTTGTGATATAAATAACAACTTATTGTAGTTCTATGCTTCTATTCTCATTCATCAAACGATTTTTTTTCTTCAAAGATGGCGGTTAGTTAACCCTTTTCCTTGTCTTTTTTTTTCAATCCCTGCAGCATCGCCATATCATCTCGATTGTGAAAATAAAGTGAAGCTGAACTTTGATACACATTTTTACACACATAACGTCATAAAGAAAGGAAAGAAGAATAATGCTCATAAAACTTTGATTTTATTGGTTCATCAGAAAAAAAAATAAAATTTCACCAAAAAGGAACCGAACCTGCATCATAGGTTTCACAGCGCAAGGCCTCTAGCCACTACACCACGCCGCCTGCTGGAAGCTAGAGTTAACCGCCGCAACACATTCCCTCCTCCCTTCCAATGCAATTTTTGCGTGCAAACTTTGAGACGCCCTAACTCGACTAAAACCAAAAAGGCGCACTTTTTTTCAATTGTTTTGGATTCAGGGTGTTCGGTAGTACCTATATACCAAGTTTCATTAAATTCCAATACCTCGACCTTTCGCACTTCCCGTGTTAGTTTCAAATTGGCATCAGCTCCTAAGTTTTTTTATTCAGTAATTTGAAAAAAAGAAAATGATACCTGCAGGAAAAATAATCGAAAAATTAAATCCAGGTTTAGTTTTTGAATGTTCAGATGCTATAGTTCTTTGAAAAATGTCTTGAAGCGCTTTTTTTCAGAAGAAAAAGTTTTTTCCTAGTTTTAAACATTGAAAGAGTTTTTAATGGAATTTGCAGCGATATCCACCGCTTAGACATCAAAACGAGTTGAAAAAGTATTTTTCCACTAAGATAGAGTCAATAGAATCAAATATATTTGATACTCTAATTTCTAGACGCTTTTTCGTGCCTCGAGTCATCTAGACAGTGAAAAATGTTCAATTGATCGTTCTGTGTGCGATTTCAATCGCGATAGCCGGCTTGTGCGTTCTTCAGCAGCTGTAAATTTCAAATCTCTTCGCTTGTCGTCAAAAAACAAACTTTTCGTTTTGAAGGTCAGTCGACCAACAAAGCTTTTTGTCTACAAAGTCTTTTTCATTTCGTTGATAATAATTATTTCCAATTAGTGAATAATATCTAATCTTCCCCTTCTCTTTGTTTAACTGTTTTTTTCCAAAAAAATTTTTTTAAAAAAAGCTTTTTATTTTTTTAGAGAAAATTTTTTTATTTCCGTTCTCTCGGTTCAGTTCCACCAAAAATGTAAGCTTTTCTATAACTAAACTAATCAGGTTTTTTTGAATTCAAATGGGCTGATACCAGCTTTTAGAGATGCTGTCACACCTTTCATCTACTCCCAAAGGTTTATTATAACCATCAAACGTTTTTTAAATATTAATCAATTTTTTTTTTCGTTGATTGCTATGAAATAAATAATAGCGAACTTTCAATAGCAAAAGGCTGATAAAAAAATTAATTTTATCCTCCTGACCATTTGCTCTCGACTCCCTCTTATCTTATCTTTTCCTACACCGTGTAGCGGAAGAATTTCTGAAAAATTTTGCCGAAATGGTTTCAGTACTACAGAACAAAGTACATTTACAGGCAATCTTCCGATACCGCCTCTTGAAAAAGTCGCCAGATGCCTTTCAGAAGATTTCTCGCTTCATTTTTTGCGCTTTGCTTCATACTCACCTGAATCGCAGCTGTGCAGTCAAATTGTCGAAATTTCGCTTCAAATAGTAACTGTCGAATACTTTTTTCCATTAAAATATAAATTTTTATACTATGCTTTTTTCTTGCCCCCCGCTTTTTGCAGCTATCAAAACCGCGAAGAAAAAAATTCTCGAGTCTCTGGAGCTGCGCCAAAAAAAGTCAATGGCGCGAAATACATTTTTCTAATTTTTCAAAGTTTCTTCAGAAGATCGCCTTGTTCATGAGTATTCTGCTTTCTATGAGTTCAAATCTTCCATTTCAAGATTTTTCCAAGCGTGAAGTAGTTCTTCGATCGCATCCGGAACGGAAACGTCTAAAAAACAGGAACGGGAAAAGTTTGGTCTCGAAATAGTCGCCAACGAATTTTCCACTTCTATTGTCCTTTTCTACATAAATTCGTCACGATCTGTGTCTTATTGAAAAACAACACATGTTTTTTTTTCCTCGTGTGCTCTTTTTCAGTTTCTCGTGATTGAGTCGATTGATCTGATAAACAACTTGGTGGATAATATATCAGGTTTTTTTTTCGGAAGAATTTGTAAACAGATCGTGAGGTTCACGACTTTTCAGACCAGGACAAATTATTGAAATTTTCTGCCGAATTTAGTCTTTTTCAATGAGCTATTGCATCACATTAAAACCATATGAGGGGGTGTTCTCCAAAGATCATGAGATCAAAATGAGATCAAATAATAATTTTAGTTTTTTTGAAATTCTAAAACTTTCATTGTTTTATGGAAATGCATATTTATATCACTGTTTTTTTAGGTGCGTGGAATCGATTAATAAAATAAAGCTCCGGGATATTTTTTTAATTTAACGAGTTGTAAAAAAATAGCATTGCTTTTCCGTGAAGTTTAAAAATATTTGAGAGGCTTAAAATCAAAGGTTCGTAATGAAACACTGATATTTTTCCTTCTGAGAATGAAAAACTTTCAAGATATCCTTCAGCTTCTTGCACAATTGTGAAATTTCCAGCCATTTTTGGCGGAGAACCCTACCGATTTCCAAGGCAGTTTAATCTTCTTCTAATTAGAGGTTGCAGTAGCTCGTTTTTCTTTTTCAAATAAAACAATATTTATTGCTTTGAGCAGTTTTCTCTTCTTACTCAGATCTTCAATAACGTGAAACGTTTTTTTCATTATTATTTTTTTGAGATTTTTTAAGTCTATTAGTTTTTTTCATATAAAATTTTTTTGTCGTAGTTTTTTTGAAGCAAAAATCAATTTCAAAAAAATATCAATTTTATGACTTGTTGAATTTTTTTGAAATTCAGCCGATTTTTGAGCTAATTTTTTTGAGTTGAAGCATAAAAAAATTCAAGTTTTTTTCAGCAAATTGATGATTTTTATACTTCTTGACGTAATAATCAATTTTAAGAAGATTCAACCCCACGACTTTCTGAGAATTTAGAAAAACTTATATTTTAGAGTTAGTTTATTCTTATTTTAAGTTAAAGCTTTTAAAACGTGGTCTTCTCAGCAAAAAAGGCGATTTCATTCCAAATAAATCTCGCGACTTGGCGTGATGTTCAGATGAAAGAAACTACCCGTAGGGCCGAGATTTCTTCCAGATGTGGCTCCAAAAGTGCAGTTGGCGAGTAGAAACGTGTCGGCGCCACTGTTCCAACGCGAGCTCGGACCCCGCATCGCCATCGTCTATCACGCCACTTTTCCGTCGTCTCTCGCACCGTTTTAATCACCCGTTTTTTTTTTCTCCCATCGCTCGCATGCTTTGCCTGGCGCCTTTTTTCGATTAGAATCTCTTCTGATTCTCACTTTTTAATGCCTGTCTGACATCAAAGGAGAGTACACTTTGAACTTGTGGCCCACATTAATTTTCCTTGCTTTGAAACGGTAATTTAGGAGTTTTCAACTTTTCATGGGAGTTTTTTTGAATAAATTCACATACAGTTTTTCATATTGATTCTCAATTCTCAAATTGTACTTTATGGAGAAAAAGTAGTTGAAAACAAGTTACTTTTCGACTTATCAAACTCTTGATTCTTCATTTTTGCCATAAATTACTTTCAGAAAATTTTTGAAAAAAATTTGACCGCTTTTGAAAGTTTTTATTTTTCTACAAAAGGAAAAAAATTCAATCTTCTAGAAACAGCTCTCTGAAAGTTGAACGAAAGTTTGAACACTGTAATTCCATGAAACTTGTATATGCGTAGGAACTTTAAAAGTAAGCAAAATCAAAGAAATTCACCAGAATCAGTTTAATTTAGTTTTTTTAAAACTGTCTCATTTTTTTGATTTCTTCAGAGTGGCAAAATTTGTTTTTAAAAAAACTTTCTTCCAGTATATTGAATCGGCAACAATTTTTCAACACTTATAGTGCGTAAAACGGCCTTTTTTATTGTATTCTTTCATTTCATCATTCGTTGTTTTTTTTTTTTGAATCAACACAAGCAAACCAATGTTTGTCAAACATACTCTCAAGCCAGCTGAAGAGGGAAATTTCGATCGATTTGTCAAAATTGAGGTTCGAAAGACCTTCTCTCAGCTGTGAATTGAAATCTTTTTGTTCTCAGACGCTCTGATTTGCGAACCCGCAGTTCACACTCGAAAACAGAACAGAAAACGTTTTTCTCGTGTTGTTTTTTGTGCATCCTCCTTCGCCAAACCGCCGCCAAACTTCCTCTTTACATTTTTTTCGAGTTTTTTTTTTGGCTTTTTCAATTGAAGGACAGAGCTTGAAAAGAATATTTTAACACGAAAATTTCAAAATCATTGAATGTTACAGTTTTTTTTTTTTAATTTCTCAAATTGTAGGAGGAATCACGATTTTCTCATCTTTAGGCAGCAGGACAATGGAAATATTTTTCATTGCTTTTATTTTCAAAAAAGTCTACTCCCAGAATGCCAAGGTTTTTTTGAAAAAAATTGGATTTACTTATGCTTTGTACGGCATCAAAAATCTGCCCAATAAAACGGACTTTCACAGTTTTTTTGCCAAACTCCTTTTTTTGTTTTTTTCATATATAGATAGAACTGGAATAGTTTTTATGAAACGAAATTTTTTTCTTTGCTACGCCGGACAGAAATGACATTAGAAAAAAGGGAATGTCTATCACATTTTTCCTCAATCGCTTAATCAAGCTTGTGAGAAGACTTAGCAAAAGTTTCGAACTATAAAAAAAAGTTGTCCCAATAACTTATTATATCTCAAAGTATCAAAAATTATTTCTGATCCCTCATATTGTGACTAGACCACGTGACTATCGAAATAAAAGCCAAAAGTTCTCCCCACACCGGCGTGTAATTTATCAGTTCATCGTGTCCAATGATTGAACAATCATTCCTTTACTACACGCTGATATGATTCTAAAACTCGCTTTGCCCTTTGAAAAAACTGGAATACCACCTGATTTTTCTTTCGTTTACTAGTGAAAGACGAGAAAAAAGACGTCGTGTCCCAAAAAACATCAAAAATTTCCCATCGATTCCTTTCAGAACATTTCTTCTCAAAATTAGCAATATTTTGTGCAAAAGGCGAGGTTTAGACAATTTTTTTTTTCCGTAATTGTTGTCCAAATCGTCTAAAAACGTTACTATTCCAAATATTGAAGATTTTAATGCTTTTTTCTATTATTTCCGTAGTGAAGGAAATTTTCCAAAATTTGATCATTGCTCTTCAAGGAAAAAATTTCAGAAAAGCCTCCAGACTATTAAAAAAACTTCAGAGAAAAATGGCGGCTTTGACGTCTTTTTAGTTCTTTTTTCCTCAAGATAGCAATGAATAGAGTCTAAACCTTTGCCCTTTATTGACACTCTCTTCAAAGTTTATAGTCTTCTTATCATCCTGACTCGATCTCTTTTCAACTCAACTGACTAAAAGCGGATTAAACGACCAGTTTGATTGACGCAAAACTTTTAATTGTTCGTCTTTTGCTCCTCGTAAACCTTTTTGTCGGTCAAAACGTTGTAAAAAAAAAAAGACAATTGTTGACTTTTTCAGGTTTTCAATGAGTTGTGCGCGCGGATTATCAGCGCGTTTGTACGGGTACCTGCAGACCTACATCCGTGTGAGTTGGGGTTTTTTTCAACTCCAAACTATGCTACTACAGTGTAGTTTGGTCTTTTATTGGTCTTGGATGAGTGAATTATATCCCTTCTCCCAGATGGAGCCAAAAAGCATTGGATTTCAAAAAAAGGGAATATTCAAAAAAACTTTGAGAAACTGATGAATAAAAATTTTTTTAACACTAGAGCAATGTTTCCCTCATAAAAGTTAATCTTAAATTCTTTTCAGATCGACTGCCTGGCCACCCCACAAGAGTTGAAAAAAATTGAAAGAGCACAAATATTCGGCGGTCGACAACAGTTGGCTTGATGAACTTTGTATGAAAAAAAGTGAGCTATATAATGATAACACTGGAAGTAAAATCACTTACGATTTATAATCCAGATAAGTTTATAGGGACATTATTGTTTTTTTCAGATGGTGGGAATTTGCAGTAACGTTGTGTCCTATGTGGGTCGCCCCTAACTTGATTACTCTGGTTGGTCTCATAGGAAACCTCGTCACAGTTCTCGTCCTCAGCTCCTTCTCCTACTCGGCCACGGGTCCGGTGAGTTTTGAAACATCAAAAAGGTAATTTAGATTAATGAAAGGTTTTTTCTTGCGTCTTGATTATTCTGTTGAACCTGATCAAAACTGGTGTTCGGCGTGTTTGAACTTCATTTTTTCAGGCTCCATCATGGGCGTACATCCAAGCGGCCTTGGGGCTTTTCATCTACCAAACCCTGGACGCCATCGACGGAAAACAAGCCAGAAGGACTGGATCGAGTTCGCCTCTCGGTGAACTTTTCGATCACGGTTGTGACAGTCTCACTCAAGGTTAGACACATAAAATCTCACACAAAAAGAGTGAGTTCGACCTCCAAATAAGCAATACCAGGAAAGTCTGAAATTATAAAAAGGTATATAAATTTTGACGGCCTGAATTTTTTGTGATCCTCTTCTTCTGTCAAATTTTTTGGTTCTGTAGTTTTGAGGCAGAATTTTCGACAGCATTAAACGACAGGAAATCTACAGGATTTGAAAAAGCAGTTCGGACTGTTATAGAATAAAAAGAATTATTCTCTGAGATGTTCGAAAAAAATATTTAGTTTAATGAAAAGTTCCAAGTTTTACTTGAAGATAACCCTTCCATCAAAGGAAGCTATAAAATCGAAATACGTTTCGAAAACCGTTCAATAAGAATAATATATGCTAAATAGAAAAAAACTGAGCTTTTTATTCATCACCTAATGATTTCTTTATTTTTTTGAAGGATGTTTTTTTCAGTATTTGTCACGTTGAACGTTTGCTACGCCATGTCCCTGGGAACAATGAACAGTTGTGTTCTCATCGTTTCGGTCATTTCCGTCGTGATGTTCTACTGTGCCCACTGGTCCACGTACTGCACTGGTCAACTTAGATTTTCCAGGTTTTTTCGTATTTTTTATATTGTTTGCTGTGTTGAATTTTCTCGGAGTATCAAAAACCGACCAAGAAAAAAAGGATATTCGTCGCAGCTTTAAGATTTCATTTTATTGCATTTCAAGTGTTTATTCGCCATTCCGCAATCTGCACGACAAATACAAAAATCAAAAAAATCAAATAAATCGAACAGGTGATATGTGGAAACGGCTGGAAAAAAAAGATTGTCTGGATAAACGAGGCTAACCCGTAACAAACATTGTGGAAATCGACAGAAAAAGCTTTTTTTCAGTACTAGCCAAACGTCTTAAGATTCGCAATGTGTACGAATTGATAAAAAAACAGATTTTTTTATTATATTTTTTTCATAGAATAGTTCATCAGGACTACTTTTTCATTTATACGAAAATCGGTCCAGTTTTTTATTAAACTTAGTCAACAATCCTCCAAAAAACGATCTTGTTTTGTCGGCTTCAAGCCAATTAGTCAGATTCGCACTCCCACACGTTTTGACTGTTTTTTTCGTTTTAAACAAGACACTTTTTGAAACCTTTTTTCAAAAAAAAGAAGCCTGCAAATGACTTCAATAATTGAAAAGATGAATCACAAAGAAGATTAGACTCTGAGTCATTTGTGTTCGACTGGAAACTTTATTTTTGAGCCTCGGGATTTAGACGGTTCTAGTTTTTTACACATCAGAAAGCAGGTGCATTGAAAAGAGACAAAGTCGTCATAACAGCAGAATCTATATGAAGGTCAAAGCATTTTTCTGATTGGAGAAAAAAAATAAGAAATTAGAGTTTGCAGAGAATTCAGATGAAAAGTTTGAGATATGAATTTTACACGATGTTCAAAGCACATCTGAGAGTGTGAAACTTGCCTGATAGAGATGAAGATTTTTTACGAGAGGAGTTAACAGATATTTTCTGAGTCCGCATCTTTGAGCCTGAAGACCGGGTTCTTGTTTTATCTAAGACTGATAATTTAATCTGGAAAAAGCAAAGTTTAAAATAACTTTTTTTTTCTGCGTTGTAAAATAAATCTTTCCATTAGGATATCAAAGAAGTTGATTGAATTCTTTAAATTATCAATCAATCAAAATTTCATTTTTTTAAAGATATGTCATAGTCAATTTCAATCGAAAAAATATGTTCTTGACCCAAAAGAAAGTTTTTAATTTTCAGATTCGATGTGACGGAGGCTCAGATGTCAGTGATCTCTGTCCTTCTTTTCACGGCACTTTTTGGAAACGCAGCTTGGGGAATTCAAGTAAGAGTATCATTTTGATAATTTCCCTTTCAATTTCATCAAACTTTTCAGATCTTGGGCTATGAGTTGAAGTTTTTTGTTGTCTATCTCTCCTTCGCTATCTCCTTCTATCAAATCTATGGATACATTCACGTCATCTTCAGCGGAGGCGTTGGAAAAAATGGTTCCACTATTGCTGTAAATTGTCTTTCTTTCTTTTTTTCGAACGTTTCCAACTCGAAGTTCCGAGGCTAAGGATCGTTTTTCAAAGCTTTTTCTTCTTCTCATATTTTGACACCAGGTGAACGGAGTTTTCCGTCCCTCGACTACTTGAATATGCAGGGAAAATGACGTTCTAGATTACAATTTGACTGAAATCGAAATAATGATTTGACAAAAAAATTATATTTAAAAGTATACACGGAGTTAAGAAAAACAGTCAAAAAGTGCGAAAAATGGCGAAAACAAAGTTTTTTGAAACGGGTATGTATAGTTCTTTATTTAACACTCCTTATATTTTTATTCAAAAAGCCTCGGGTATTGATAATCCGATGCTGTTTTTGATTTTTTGGTTCAAAGACAAAAACTTTTTTTTTCACCATGATCCAAAAATATTTCAAATGAACACCAATGCTTATTTGAATAAAAAAACTTTTTCTTTTTTCCAGGGAACCTCAGTGATCTTCCCACTTTTTCCCTCTTCTCATGGTTATAGTGCCTTTCTGCATGATATACTACAAAAGCGATACTAATATTTTCGATGAGCACATCACTCTTTTCTGTCTCTGCTTTGGGGCTGTTGGTATGTTTCTTATCAGTAGATTTTTGGATTAAAATCCAAGAAGAATTTAAATTTCAAAAAGAAAACTGAGCTTTCAGGAGCCAAGGCGACTAATCGATTGGTCATCGCTCATATGGCCAAAAGTGAGCTCCGATTATGGGACTGGATCTACATCGGACCCTTCCTGATGATGCTCAACCAGTACTACGACACGTACTTCGATGAGTATACGCTTCTTATCTTTGTGACGGTTAGTCTGATTTCCAACATCTTCGAAAATCATTTTGTCAATGAGCGTAGGGATATGGGACACCGATGCTGAATTACTAACAAAAAGTACTGTAAAAAGTAGATTTTTATAAAGCTTTCCAAACAAAAACAAAAAACGGCAACTTTTTGTTTTTGTGGTTTTCTTTCTTCATTTTCTCTCAAAATCGAAGCAACTTATTCAATTTGACTGACAGTTTTTTTTCAAGAAAGAGATAAATCGGGTGGGGTGTTCGTGAAACGCTTGAAGATCATTCCTTAAAATTTTACAAAAGATTGAGAAAATTTTTTCACAGAAATTCGAAAAAGTGATAGACAAGAATAAGAAAATCTAGAAAAAATGAAACGAGCTGAAATTTAAACATTGTGAAAAAGCTTCCAACTCTCAAAAATAATTCTCGGTCAGAAAAAATTATTTTTTCAGGTGTACTGCTACGTGTCGCTGCTAACCTACTGCGTCGTCGTGTGTCGACAATTTTGCGAATTTTTGAACATCTACATTTTGGTTTTGGGTCCACGTGATCCAAAGCTCAAGTCCACGTGACTAACACAAGATGCTGAGGTTTTAATTATCGGAATTTTTATATCATACATTTTTTTCAGATAGACGACAAAAAAACTGCTAGAATTTGACATTTGAACAGCTCGCAGAAAATCATGGTAAATTAATTCTCACACGGACTTTCAATACGGTCTTCTAACTGGCTTTTTTTACGTTCATTTGTTTGAAAATCGCACCTCGCCAATATTACTTAACAGATTTTTTTATTGTCTGATACTATCTTTTTTTATAGAGTACCCTGGAGTCAAAGACTTCCCATTCACGTTGATTTCTCTCACATCCCAGCTTTTTTTCTCTACGTCCAAGACAGTTTTTTTGTATGTACATAAATTCCCTTGCAATACTACTTTTTCCCAATTATTTTTTTCTTTGCATTATTTTTTTTAAAAATATGATTCGAAGGCTTGATTTATTGTCCCGCTCTAGTGGGATAAACAAGCTCGTTCAATTCCTTTTTCCTTTCAAGGTTTCTCAATTTCCTACTAAATATTGTGTAGTTTGAAACAAAAACTAATATTCGTATAAAATCCCGAATTTCATTATCTTCGCTTTCGGTGAAGCCTCAAAACATCGAAAACTACATTTTTCGAGCGGAAAGCAGTTTCAATTCAATTGTTTATGTGGGAAACCAAAAATTGGAAGTTCAAACATAGAGTGGGGGAGAAAAATCGTTCCTAAGATCAATCGAACACGAATGACACGATATGCAAAGACTGAGATTGAAAGCAGTTCTGAGACCTTTGGTAATTCGGAATATAGAGAAAGAGAAGAAAAACACAACCAAGCTCAAAGTTTTCTTCAGCAGATTTAATAAAAGAAACCCGGACTTTTTACATCAATAGTATTGGACCATTATAAACAGACATTTGGCGGTCGAACGCCTTTCCCGACATTTGGACAGACACAGGGCAACTTGGAGGATTTGTAAAAAGAGGCTTACTATAGTTGATTCCTTGCTGACGATTTTTCTCAGAACTTTTGAACTTTTTTCGAAAGAATTCTTGATCTAGGTCGTTTCAAATGTAAAATATCATGGTCTTTCAAAACGGATACTTCGGATTTTGGCTTTTCTTTCAACTGCTAGCTAAACTAATAAAGCGACGGCTTGAAATCAGGATTTTTAATGTGCTCCATGAATCGTTATCTTTTTTTTTTTTTAAATCTTTCGCTTCATTGTAATGAGAACGTTCAATTTCGGGGAAAACTGAACTATTCTTGAACTGTATAGAAGCGTTTGTTTTGTTGAAAGTCCGAGGCTTTCAGTATTTTACATTTTTTTTAAATTAATAATTTTCATAAAGAAAAAAATTCTTCAGAAAAAGCTCTCAAGTCAGCAAAGAAGCAACTATAATAGATTGAATTTTAAGTTACAGATTCGAAAAACAAATGGAATAGTTTTTTTCGGAAACTAAATGTACTGAAAACTTCAAAAAACGTCGATATCCAATAAATAATTTTTATTAGCTGCTCAAAACGCTTGATGGAGTTTTAAAGGCTTCAGAAAAGCATTTGATATCGATTAGCTTCGAGGATAATCGAAAGAAAAACTTTTTTGAGGCTAAAAGGCTTGAAACTTTCTAAAAACCAGCAAGCGTTCTTGAACATACTATAAGCTTCTCCAGTGCCCCAGTGTCAAAATAATTGAGCAATAATGTTGAGCGGATGATAAATATCTCTTTTTTCTATTGCTTATGTCGGTACTTCTGCTTTTATCGTGTACATGAAGTCATCGTCGCTGTCGGCGTTGGTATTGGCCTGGAACTGGAGTTTTAAACAACATACGTTTGAGGGCGAGGCCAGTGTTGATTTTTTTTTATTATTTGAAACAAGTGAGGTTGGAGAAAAGTATACCTGAAGAACCGGAATGCATGCTAAAGAAATAGTTTCAGTCTCCTCTCTGAAAGTATTGCAAAGGTCGTCCCACATCAGAACTCGGATCTAAACTTGTATTATTATTTTGAAATGAAAATCGAAAAAGAGCTCACTGAATATTTCAGGTGTTCACACTCAAAAATCTTTTTGCCAACAAGTTTCGGATTTGGCCGAGGACAGCTACATTTGACTTCTGTTAATGCTGCCGGAAGCCTCTGTAAAGAATATATTTTTGGAGTTTGTTCTATTTTTTTATTAAAACTAACCCTTGGGTTGTAGTTGAGAGCATATTCAAATTTACAGAGAGCTCTTTCCCTCAAAGGAGTTTCGGCACTGATTACATCAAGCTTTTTGCTGTTGCATTTGGACCCGCTGGTCGTTATCAGTTCGCCATGTCTCAGCCCTTTCATCTGGAAAAATATCTTTCAGATCTCAGGTCATTCCTTCTCCGAAAGGTTATCCCGAAAAAGATGATTTTCAAAAGTGAAATGAATATTTATGATATGATATCGCAGACGTTCCTTCAAATATCCCACTTTTGGGTTTTTCAGTCAAAACTCAATATTTCATGACATCATAAAACACCAAGGCTCGGATTTCTAAAGATCTTGGAAATTGGGTTATTTGCACCGACGAATGAAAGTTGTTTTCTTGATTCCTTTAGACACCACCTAATTTACTGGATGTCTAAAGAAAAGAATCAAGTTTTTGAGTTGGAGTTTGCAATTTCAATCTAAAGAATAGCATAAAAAACTTTTGAGTCATCAATTTTTCATGTGAATCAATTCGAAATTAAGAGAACGGTCATTACCGAAACTTCCAACTTCTTAAAATCGCAGAAAAAAAGATGACATTTTGTCGATGAAAATTTAAGCTCTATTTTTTTGTACTTAACCTAATTGAGTTCTTTCTCAAAGGCTAATTTTTCTTACCTGTCCACAAAAAAAGATTTATAAAGGTAATGTTCTTGAAAAGTATTATTTTTTTCATTATAAATGCCTGAAGAAAAAAATATCAAAAATGTATCCTTTCTGAAACGAAGTTTTTAAAAAAATAATGGTTAATTTATTGGTTTTTTTCTCATTGATTTTTCTCAGGAGAATCCTCGGAAAACGCCTGGAAACGGGATTTAGCGTGCCCATCTGTGGCAAAAAGATGTTTGTGTGAGTGTGCTTCTATTTTATAATTAGCGCCCAATTTTCTTTCTAAATGGCGCACACCCTTTGTGGTTTTTTTCTTTCTTCAGTTGGCTATGGATATAGCATCAGGAGTAATTGAATTTCCTGACTGCTTCCTCTGTTTGGAGTGTTGTTCTTTGTCGTTTTTACTCGAATTGTTCGATAACCGCTAGATTATAGCTCAAAGGGAAAAAGAAGTCCCGAAGAAAAAATGGTAGAATTAAAGAATTTGTGAAGGTTTTCAAAGTAGCATGAACAAAAATGAGCCCAGCGCCTTTTTAAGGCATTTTTGTAAAAAAAACAGTCACTTTTCCGAAATGAAAAGCATTTTTTCGGTACGAACCTGTAACCTATGCAGTGCTTGTTGAAAGGAAGGGGCTATCGGGGAATAATGTGAAGAATTTTTCCGGTTCAGAAACTCGGAAAAAATTTTGAAATGATTGTTTTCACTGTATTTGTGAAAACATTCGTCCGGCGGGAACATGTCGTCTTCCTCGAGTTCTCTTCTTATCCGGTATGCTCTAAAAAACAACTCAATTTTTAGGTTTCAAAGTTTTAATTTTTCATCTTTCACATTCAAGCTACGACTTCTTGATCGGTTATTCAATAGCACAAAACATCGATTACTTTTTGGAAAATCGGTGAATAATTTTTTTCCTGTAGAAATCCTGAAGCTCGAAATTTGCTTTTTTTGAAAATCTTCGTGATTTTTATAATTATTCTTCTACAAACCACTTCGTTAAAATCTCTCAGAAAAAGCTTCCAATTATCACTAAGTTTTGAATCATCAAGGTTCTTACGCTGTATTCTATAAGCTTTTTGCTTCACTTCTGATTATGAGGAGCTTAGTTAGAGTCGAATTTTTTCTTTTGTTTTGCAATCTATTAACTGAATCATTGTTCTGATTTTGCTCACTTCACATCTAAAGTCATAAAGTTTTCCGCCTACGTTGTTATCCAAAAACTTGAGACGAATGATTTTTTAATTATTTGAGTTTGGATGGAATAGTCGTGAGAAGCTGCACGCAATATTTCAACGAGAAGCTTTGGTAGATGAACTCACTCTGAAGCCGCTATCAGGTAACTAATTGACAGAACCAAGGCTCCTACCGACTTTGACGTCAGTCTGCACGACATTTCCCTTAAAAAAGTTGCACTGAATGTTTCTGAAAGAATAAACAGGCAAAGAATTCGAAAGCAGGTGAAAAGAAGAAGCCCAAAACAGAGAACACGAGGGCAAAGACCAGCTCAGGCAGTTGAAATTTGAAAGATGAAAGTTTGAGCTTTTCTTAAATTCTTGAAGTGATGAGATGGAAAAAATCATTTTATCTGATGTCTGCATTTTGGTTAAAAATAGAAAAGATTTCATAGCGATGAAATTTTCGGCAAAGCTCCTTTGTTCCCATTTTTGATGATTTCGTGGCGTATTGTTTAAATAGAACTTTGGGAAAACAGAAAGAAACGCTTGAGCAAAAATCAGTGAAAAAAATGAATGGAAAAGTCGAAAAGTCAAGTTTTCCTTCTCAGAAAACTCTGATCAGAAGGCGTTTGAAGAAACCTTTGTTTGAAGATCCGGTATAACATTATTGATCGAAAAATATATGAAAATTGATAGAAACGAATAAAAGAACATCGAAATGGAAAGACTTTCATTGATTTCTTTCTAATCTTTCTTTATTGAAAATCAGAAACACAAAAATTCACCGAAAATGCAGGGAAAGGAGAAGAATTTATTAGTAATCAAAATACTTAAATTGTTGTTAACAGTCCTGAAAAGGTAGTAGAGATGCAAATAGTTACAAGTTGGAGTTGATCAGTTAGTTTCAGAGGAAGATGAAGTTGTTCGGAGTGGGCGTGGAAACAGAAAAGTGAGTCAAGAGTAGGCGTAGGTCCGCTCCAGCAGAAGAATGGGCCTGGGGGCGGCGTGAAATGCATATTAGAAAGACCTCCCATAGAAAGGCGTGGCTTGATTACTGTGCTTCTTCGAGGATTGTTTTCCGAAAGCCGACGTCATCGGAAAGCTTTATTCAATTATCCACGCTAACGAGAAAAGGAACAGAAACAGGAAGCTAACTGTTTCTCGGTTATGACCGAATATGAAGTCTCCTAATTTAGGGAGGAGATTAAAAGCGTCATATTGGGCATAGTGACTTTAAAGAATGAATGGAAAACGTTGTCAATGGACGTTGTCTTTTATTTTGAGATAATCCTTTTTGAGGTTCAATAGAATCATGAGCCAAGATTTCTGATTTTAAAGTTCGCAGGTGATATCTTTCCAACTTCTTTGGTTGTTCAAAGTTTTTTTGATCCATATCACGTTTATGATATAATAGGTTATAGCTGAAAATCTCAATTATCTATACCAACTCCCTGTTTTTCACTTTTTTCAGACAATACGATAGTACACTATGATTACCTGATAAAAACATCTCAATTATCAGATGTCTCTGCCGAAAAAAAATGACTTAATATAGAGGTTTGCAAATGATGTGAGCTACAGAGACGTATAGTCTGTGCGGAACTTTTCAAAAACGCAAAGTACATGTGAAGTTTACCGCTAGTTTTAGAGAATATTCGATTATATATTATGAGTGAAGCGGTATGAGAAAAACAAAATTTTCATCGAACTGAAAACTGTTCACAGCCAAAGCCGATCCATCGAATAATCTCCACAGTCAGAAAATTTCACAACGTATAATACTGGGTTTTCGAAAAGGATAGTGAAATTGGTAGATAATAACAGTCGCAAATCATCTCAGATAATCGAAAAAAACTGGAATATCAACTCATGAGATTCAATTTAGAAAATTTGAAAAAAATGCTAATGATTTGCTGAGAATCAATTTTTCGGGATTCATGCTTTACTTTCAAAATTTTTTGATGTTAAAGTTTAACCGTCTTTTTTCCCTTTAACCCACTTTTCGAACGCTTTTGTTGTTGTTTATTGAGGAGAATTCCCTTTTTTCTTCGTTCAACGGCCAAGTTCCACTAACTAAACGGATCAAAGGCTCAGCCAACTAAAGATAGAATTGAACCGCCGAACATCCGAATTACTATTAACATCTGAAACACGCCACAAAATCATCGATTCCGTGCTTTCTTCAAGATTAACACGTTGATTCATAATCTTTATATGCAACAAACTGAAAAAAAATTTCAAAACGAAGTCAATCTGTGCTTATCAGCTACATCACGGATAATAACACAATACTTAAGAAGGATCTCGGCAGTAGTTTCAAAACGAGAAAAAGATTGATGGGAGAGCCGAGAAAACAAACAGATTCGAGTTGGATTAATGTCACAACAGGGTTTTCTTACAACAATTTCATTTTTTTTTCAACAATTTAAATGATTTGTTCATGACTTGAGAATGGGATATACGATTTAGAGTTAAAATAGTAAATTTGCTCTTGGAGGCTTTTTTTGAAAGACCTTTTCCTTCGATTCAAAAATTCTCGGAAAAATGATTTGATTCGGATTTTTGAAAACCTTTCAATATATTGAGCAAACTATTTTCCAGCGTAATGTATGAAGGCTCTGAAAGTTGCCTGCCAAAATCGACAGACTCTTAGAAACCCTTAAAGGGTTTTTCAAAGCACTTTTTGGTATATCGCAATCTCAAAAACGTAGCACAAAATAACGGCTTCCCCGATATTTAAAGACACTTTAATACACGTATTGACGAAGCAGAAAACGTAGTTTTGTACCAGATTGAAGTCTAATTAGAACTTCGAAAGGCAAATCCTTTGGTTATCCTATCGGATTGCACTAATCCAAGTTCCAACTTCAGATTCCCGTTTCAAATCTTGTGAGCTCGTTATGTGGGCACCATTGCTTTGATAGTGTACATGAAGTCGTCATCCCGGTCGGCGTTGACATTGGCCTGAAACTACAAACTTGCAAGTAATTCAAATGATTGCATTTGGAATGGTCTGAATGTGGAAATTATTGGAAAAGTCACCTGAATGACTGGAATACAGGCCAAAGAAAGGGTCTCCGTTTCTTCTCGAAAGGTGTTGCACATTTCGTCCCACATCAATACTCTGATCTAGAGTGATGGACAAATATATGGGAAACATTATGGAAAACTAACCGAGTATTTGAGGTGTTCACATTCAAATATTTTCTTCCCGACTAATTTTGGATTCGGCCTGGCGCAGCTGCATTTCACCTCTGTTAAGGCCGCAGGAAGACGCTGAAAACTCCGTTTGAGACAATCTTGATTTTTTTTCTTCAAGCAGAGTGTTTTTAGAACAAAAAGTGGCTCAAAAATTGCAATTACCAGAAAAATCTCTCTTTTTTTAGCGCCCGACGGAAAACTGTTCTTGCTCAGAGGCATCTTTTAACTTTTGAATAAGTCGCTCAAGATCTAGAAGGAAATATTTTTCATGCAATATAGGCTTGAAAAAAAAATTCTCTCATATTTCAACCCTTCCATTTCGTAGAATTTTTCATAATTTCACCATTTTTTTTCTCAATTCAAAGAAGATTTGGCAATTGAATAAAAAAAAACTCATCGCTAACCTGCCAAAAGTGACACGACCACAGAGTTGCGAGCCATTTTCAGTAATTATTTTTCAAAAACTCACCCTTGAGTTGTAGTTCAGAACATATTCGAATTTGCAAAGAGTTCGCTCTCTTAAAGGTGTCTCAGCACTAATGACGTCTAGCTTTTTGCTGTTGCATTTTGAACTGCTCGTCGTAATTAATTCGCCATGTTTTAGTCCTTTGACCTAAACAAGAAAAAAATAATGATCATTGAAAAAATATACTTCAATGATCATTGCAAAGATCCTTTTCAAGTATAGTTTCTGAAGGATTAGCTATTCTAACTTCCTTTTTAGGGAATTTTCACCTCCACAACTTCAATTCCAGTCTGTCCTAGAGAAAAATGGCATCACTTGAAAGATCTTTTGTGTTCTTTTCTCTAAAAATAGTGGCGAACATCAAAAATTTGGTTATTTGTAGATTTGATGCCTTGGTTCCGCTCAGCGTGTTGGGGCACCATTTGATTTCCTGGAGGCGGTGAAAAAAATAAACAAAAGTCTGGTCTTTGAAGGAACTTTTTCTTAGGTCTGGTCTAAAGGCGGTTAGATTTCAGACTCATTCTGTAGGAGGATTCGATTATGGGCATCGTCTTCTTTGCCAAATGTTATTATTAAAGATCTAGACTTTGCTAGGGATAAATGCCACTTTGGTCCTTTGAAAGGTCGTTTACCCTTCTTAGCCAGCTTATTTTCATTAGTGAGAACCAAACCAACCAACTCAGTCAAATCTTAGTAGTAATAACATTGGGACATTTTTTATCATTTAAATCAAATCCATGGATTATCAACCAACCTGGAGTTTGTGCAATGCTTGTTGAAAAGATGGGGCTATTGGAGAATAATGCGACGAATTTTTCCGATTTAAAAACTCGGAAAAAATTTTGTGATGATTATTTTCACTGTATTTGTGAAAACATTCCTCAGGCGGAATCATGTCGTCTTCTTCCAATTCACGCCGAATCCGAAATGATCTGCAAAAAAAATCCAAGTCAGCTCTGTGATCTGAATATTTGACGTTTTCAGCTCAACAAGTCAAAAACATGTGGGCTACATCTAAGCCAGCAATTTCTTTTTTCAAATCGAAGAGAGATAAACGATTGCGTCAACTTTTGCACGTGAAGAACATCATTTATCTGTTTCATCTGCTTTTTTGGATTGTTCCGCCCACGTTAGTTTTAAAACTTCTACCAAGCTTGGTTTTGAGCATGAACATTTGATCTCAGCTCGTTACATTAGTCGATTCGAGAGTCTCTGGCCATTTTGATGTAACTGAGAAAGTTGAAAAACAAAAAAATAGATCAAAACTTACGCGGATAACGTAATTAGTTGTATTAACAAGATGAGAAAGGCACTCATCAGTTGAAAAGAAGTTTGAGCTCGCGGTTTTTTTTAACTGTAAGCTTAAATTTGTCCTGTCTTATGTAGGAAAACATCTAATACACAAAAAAACGCGGAGCGGCTTATATTCTCCAAAAAAATATCTGAGAAAAACGAACACAAAGAGGGAAAACTGAAAAATTTTTAGACGACTTCAAAATTCGAAAAAAAAAAAAAGTAAAATGTGCAGTCAAGCACAATTAACTCAATGAGTGCTACGTCACGAAAAATGAATGTCTCTTTGCAGAATGCCTGAAGTTGAAAAAGCGCAAAATTATATCTGAAAGTTCACTTTGGCTGCAGACTGCAGCATTTTACTCGAAAAACCTTTTGAAAATGTATTTTTGTCGGAAAACTCTGGAATCCATCATTTACTCAACTTCCTGACAAGCAAACTTTTCATGCTAACTTATAAAAAAACGAACAAAGAAATTTTGAGAAAAACCGGTGAGGGACCATTTTGTTCGTGAAATGAGATTAAGTAAGGCGCGGCTTCTTTTTTCTCTGCTCGAAGAGGGCGTGGCCTCCAGAGTTGTTTTCACAGTTCAAATGGACTTGAAGTTGAGAGAATGTTGAGAATATCTTGAAGATTTGAAGAAAATTTCAAAAAAATTTCATTTTTTTAATATTCCTGGAGAACTCGATTTGCCAACAAGAAACTCCCCTAAATTTCAAATTTGAAAATCATTTTTGCTTCAAAAAAATTCTTCTTTCTAGAGTAAGATATATATTTGAGGATACAAACTACTGTTATACTGATTGCGAATCGGAAAGCTTTTTTTCTCAGATGGCAGTTTTTCTCCCAAAGTCTCTCATTATACCTTATCCATGTGAAGTTGAACAAATAATTCGTAATTGGCACTTGAATATGATAATCCTTTGTCAATAAAAACATGTAGAAGATTTTAAAAATTCATTCGAAAAGCTTATAATCAAACTATGAAGTTTCGAGATTTTTTTGTTTAGATGGGATAATAACTTTTTCACAAAAATGCCTTGATTTGGGTTGAGAATTTTTCAAATTCGGGATTATAAAAACCTAATTTTTGAGGATCTTATTTGATCGATTTAATTCTATTCACCATCCAGAGTAGTTCATTCCCGAATTTCCAGTGTAGAATTTTTTTCAATACTACGTCGTTTTGTTTTCTTCAAAAGAGACTAAATTTCAAAAACGCTGGTAATCTCCAAGTCAATCCTGTATGGCTTCCTAGAGGGCTTCGCAAATTTCTGGACTTTGCTAATAATTTAAATTGAAGCGTCACAGTTTGAGAAGCCCTACTGTTTGAAACGTAAGCATGAGATTTTTTCTGAAAGGTTGGAGTGAAGAAAGTTTTTTCGTCATTGAAACGCGCGCAGTATGATGAGATACGTGAAGTGGCTTAAAATAGAAAGTTTGGTTTGTGTAGGTTTTTTGAGAACAGAAGTTTGGAAACAAACTTTTATTTTGTTCAGGGTTTGGCCAGCAAAAACTAAGTTTTGAAAAGTGAGACTGGTTCTATCAAAACAGTTTTTTCTAGTAAAAAGTACAAAGAAGATCTTTAAATATATATTTTCAAAAAAAAAAAATGAAAGTCTAATGCTTCAGGAGCTTGGTTCTCTGGGGTGAAGAACTTTGGATGAGAAAAATTAGAAACGGAAATTGAATTATTAGTTTTTTTGAAGTGAGCTTTGTAGAACACAATCACTTTCTATAGAACATGTCTGTTCTGTTTGATTGGCGCAAAAAAAACCTTGAAAAACTGAGATTTCCTTACAAATATCTTGCTGAACTTTCCAAAAACAAAGATCCACAAGATGCCCTCATGAGGAAAAAAGACTAATTTCATGAGCTCATTCTGAATTAAAGAAAAGAAAAAACAACGACATCATATCCTGTTCACAGCTGAACTTAAGAAAAAAAACGACAAACAAACATTCCGAAGAAAATTCGATGAGCCGTCACGTCTTAATCAAGTTATGAACATTGCATAGAACCCAGTGTTGTAATTAACGGAAATCGGGTTATTCACAAAAATGTCGTCAGCAAAGATGTCATATCGCAACTTCAAAATAAAAAAAAATGAAAACTTGAATTTCCGTCCAAAAAAGGTAAATTTACCAAAGACATTTTAATGAGAAATCTATCCAAAACCGGTTGAAATATGGCCTGAGTTATTCGAAAACAATGAATATAAACTTATAGATTCCAAAAAATGTTTATCCTTCAAACATAATTTGCCTTTTGAAAAGATCCTTCCAATAAAAAAAAATCTTAGAAAATACCCCACTCGATTGGTTTTTGAACTGAAAAAGCTTTGATTTTCAGAAGTTGCCGCTTTTTGATGAACTATAGATCAAACTTAATCTGAATATCCGTATCGAATCATGATTATGACGGAGTTTTGGTCTGGAACACTTGCATTAGAACACACTTTTTTCGAAAAAAAAAAAGTTATAAGTGCGATGAGAAATCGGAAACCAGTCATATCGAACGTTTTGAGATTCTCGAAGGAATGGAACGCACCGATCTGAGATCGAAAACAGTTGGTTTACATCGCGCGTGGAGCTCATTAAGTTTTCAAAGATCTTCGGAAGATTAAGGGAAACATAAACTAAACAAATGAAAACATTTTCCAGAGTTCAGTAGCAAGGCTGGTTTGAAAGTCCAGAAAATATTACCTCTGAAAGAAAAAAATCGGTATAAATTAAGCTTGAAGACTTCTCTTGGTTCTTGTGATTGCAACCTTGAAAATTAATTCAAAAGTGTTTTGTTCAAATTCTTTTTTTTAAATTACCATTGATGGCCACATCGTATCCTACTACACTCCAAAATGTTCTACCAAACTTGGAAAGTTGATCTCAAGAAAGAAGATCAAATGATAAACAAATAAAAAGAGCAAGAAGCAATGTATTTTTTTATCTTTTTATTTTTTTGGAAAGTAGTCTATTTGTTTCATTTTTTATAAAAAAATTAAACGTAATAAAAATTTTCTTGTTTCCCTGATCTTTCAATCACACCTGTCAACGTGGACGAAATTTGTCATTCAGAACTATTTCTGAGGCAAAAAAGACGCACTTTGAACTGAATGGCGCCGCCACCGCGAATGATAGCGGCCGTAGCCAGAGGCACCCGCGGGCTCGACGGCAGAGTCGTTTCGCGCCAAAATACGTCCAGATAACAGTTTCGGGGTCAGCTCACGTTATCTAATCGCGGGGACAGCCCCATTTGTTGTCCTTCCAATTTGTCGCCACTACTTAAATGGCCATCGGTTCCTCATTAATTAGTCTTTTCGGAGCTTTGGATTTGTACTGTCTTCATTTTTTTATATGCCTTATGTTTCTTTTTTTATTACATCTTTCTGTCAACCAAACACTGGGGTTTTATCTAAGCTATTGGTAGCAAAAAAAATTTTTTTTCGCTCAGTTTTGTATATTTTTCATGCTTTTTGAAAGATTTTTGAATTTTTTTAGGTTCGATCTAATCTTCTTTTTACTTTTTTTCCGTCGTATTCTTTGGATTAATCGCTGAGTTCAAAAAAAATATGTGGTTGCTCGAAACAAAAAAACGGAATGATAATAATAAATGAAAAATTAGTTTTTTTGGTCATAATTTATCTTGAGTTCCTTAGAAAAAAATTATTCTTGGTTTTTGAAAGCGCGCTATTCATTCATTTCGTCACTTTTTTTCAACAAATTTAGGCACAATATACATTTTTTTCTTTTTTTACACGAATATTCATCCGTAGAAGCGGGAAATCCCATTAATTCTCAATAATTTTTTTGTTTTTTTAAATTTGCGTGATTATTTATCAAAAAAATATTCAAACCAGCAAAACGTAAAAAAATTATCCTGTAGAGAAGTTTGTGACGACAGTTTTGACAGGTGCACCTAGATAATGTGAGAGAGGACAGGTCCTTAAATTGACAACTCATATCGCTCAACTGTACAATTGGAAAATATTTCAAAGAAAACTTTGGATTTTCTGTGGACTGGCTGTTTTCTTTTAAAATTCTGAGCGGGGTTTCTGTATCCTTTTAATTGAATTTTTTCAAGCTAACTTTCAAAACTTTTCAGTTCTCAGTAAAAATAACTTTCTAATTAAAGTTCTATTTGTTGAATTTTTTTGATTTTTTTCTATTCGATTTGAACAAAAAAACCGTTATGCCTTATTATTTGATGTTTAGGAAAATGTAGTCGCAGCCTTTTTTCCAAAAATGGCGCGATCCAGAACTTGACAGGTTCATAAAGATAATATGGACACCGGGGTACATTTTCGAAGAAACTTATAGAAGGACTATTAATCTCAGTCGAATGCGTTTTACGTTCCCAGCTTGACCTTTTTTTTTGAACTTTTTGTCTTTCAAAACTGTAAATATTTTAACAGAACTTCTTTTTTTATTACAACTCCAGGCACCAAGAATTTATTTGTTGTGAATTTTTTAGCTATCACTCAAAGTTTTTTTTTTCGATATTTTCCTCCTTTTAACAGTAAAACTAAAATCTTTTCTTCAAGAAGCCGGGTTGCCAAAAAATCAGTGATATTTCTAGCCAAACCAGTTTCTCTCCAATACACCCAACAGAACCTAACCAGGTTTTTTTTTCTTCCAAAAATGGTGCGACTTAAAACTTGGACAGATGCAGACAGATAATGTGAACAAATGTCGCAGAAGTGATAACCCAAACCGGATCCGCGGCATCCCGGCGATCAATTTCCCTTAGCGACGATGGAATCGACATAACCTTTAACGATTTTTGCCCAAGCTTGCGCAATCGTTTCCTCCTTCGGCATATTTAAATTTCTGCCAATGTACTAATTATCATTATTTTCGCTGTTTTCCTCTTTCCTGCGTGTTTTTCAGGCCTCAAAACTGTCACCACTTTGAACTTTTTCGGTCCACGTGTCTTTATTGAGATTCGAATCAATCACTGTCCGATCAGTTTTGAACCTTTTTGCATGAAGGAGGGAAAAAGAAGGAGATTTCAGAAAATGATTCGCGCCGGCCGCGGAATCGCAGTTGTTCTCCGCAAAAGTCGAGTTTGTGGGCTCAAATCACTACAGGTTTAATTGTATCCTATTATTCTCTTGTTATGAAAAGTACACAAAGCTTTTCATTTAGATCGACTGAGAAAAACAATTTTTTTACATTGCCAAACTTCATTTTTCGAATAGACTGTAAAATCAATCAAAATTTTTATCTTACCTTGAAAAAATCCGACTCGACTCAAAATGAGAGAAGTCTAAATTTTGACCACCAGGACCGATTTCATAAAAAATCACAAAGTAATAAAGTTTTTCCAGGTCCGAAAAGCCTCCTCAATCATTACGCCCTACCACAGACTAAGTCCCATCACATCTGTTGGAAACGTCCCAATCGGCGACTCAAACGGCAATTTTTCGTAAGTTTAAAAGTCTTCAAAATGGAAAAGCTACAGTTTCAAGTCATTCCAGAACCAAAACAAGACAAAAACACACAGTTTTGAACACTCGAGGGGATTTGAAAAATGCGCAAAGGATTGTGGTGAAACTGGGAAGTGCGGTTATCACAAGAGAAGATGAGTGCGGTCTCGCCTTGGGCCGTCTTGCTTCTATCGTTGAACAGGTATTTTCTATATTCAAATTTTGATTCAGCAGAAAGTAGGTTTTGAAGTGAAAAGTCACCTAGATCGATGTTTTGAAATTTTTAAAAGGAAAAGAAAAAAGAAGAAGTTATTGAACTATCGGTAGCAAAAGGGTGACTTTGAAGTTTTCATGAAAGTTCATGATTCTAAAAGTTTTTGTACAATGTTTAACAGAAAAACGGGCTGCGGTTCCTATCTAGGTTCTGAACGTTGCTTTTTAATGCCATTCCTAAGCTTTCGAAATGCCGACAGGCGGAAATCGTTTAGGGTCGGACGCTTCATGCAAATAATCGCCTTGCAGCTTTCTTTTTATCTTTCTATGAAATTAACGTTGTGAATTAACTATATTCGATTATGTCTTTTTTTAGTTTTTTTACCATCAAACTATTGACATTCATTGTTTTTTAAACTTCTAAACTTTTTTTGAATCAAAAAGTCGAAATAGAGAAAAATTAAAAAAAGGATTTTTTTCAAAAAGATTATCCAATAATGGCATGCAAACCATTTTTCGATGAACTTCCTGTTGAAAGAAGTCCAAGATTTTGTCCGTAGAATTTTTTGAATAAAACCAAACTAGACTGAACTTGCTTTCTGAAGTTTTCAAAGCTCGTCAGAAACCTAAAATATCTTCAAGCGTGATATATTTAATCTTCTCAACCCTAATCCTATTCTGAAGCAGATCTGCGTAAAACTAGAGTGAGAGTTAAAGTTTATCTTCTTGTTTTGCTACTCCTCCAAAAATCTGCGTAATAAAAGAAACCCAACCGAACCACGTTGTTTCAAGCTTTAATCTTGGTGTGACGACACGAAAACTAGCTTCTAATCCGGTTTCAAAGCAAATGCGGAAGCAGATTAGGTTGTAAGGTTTCACGCTTCGACTCCTACGCTTTATTTCAGCGAAATACACTTTTTTGGGAAAGGGGTTACTAATATTAATACTCAAACAAGCCATAGTGTTTCCGCAATCTTGAATTAGATTTGCCGACGTAAATTTTCTTGCAAATGCGAACAATATTTATAAACTTGAGTAGGAGGAAAAAACAAAGTTTTATGAATGGGGGTTGTAGAAATTCCCTCGATTTGCTTATTTCATAAAGTTTTAAGAAGAAAGAATTCATTTTTTTATTCTTAAAAATGTGGAAAAAGTTATTTTTAGAACCAAAAAATGATTCCATCTTTTTTTATGGAAGATCTCCTGGAAATTAATAAGTGCTATCAAGAGAAAACTCTGGAAAAGGTTTTTGTTAAATATATTGAAGAAAATAGATTTTTGGAAAAATAACTTTGCTGTTTCGAAGCTGAAATCCTACTATTTCCCAAATTCAGGTCTCCGTCCTGCAACAATCCGGCAGACAGATGCTGATGGTCTCATCTGGCGCCGTCGCTTTTGGAAGACAGAAACTCCGTCAGGAACTTGTTATGAGCATGAGCATGAGGCAAACGCTCCGGTCAGTACTTCTGACCTTTCTGGACACCTTTTTTTTCGTATCCTTTGAAAAAGAAGACCTTTTTCAGAGGTCCTTCTGGAATGCAAGCTGATAAGAGAGCTTGTGCCGCTTCTGGGATGCCAGGTCTCATGTCTCTTTATGAGCAACTCTTCCAGCAGTATGGCATCACGGTTGCTCAGGTTAGCTAACGATTGATTGCAACTCAAATACTTCGCAAACCTTTCAATAAGGGACAAAAGAAATTCCGCAGCTAGAAAATATGATGCAAATAAATACCGAGAAGTTTTTTCGTTTTTTTTTCCCAATTTTATTTTTACTTTGTTCTGGGGGCTTTTCACAATCTTCACGATTTTAAAACACAAAAGTTAAATAGAGTCTCATACTACACTACGAAAAAAAGTGCAAAGAGCTCTGGTAGCTTGAATGAGGAATCTCGAAAATAAACGTCTAAAGTAGACTACACTGCCTTCTTTTCATAGTTTAGAAAGGAAGTGATAGCAGAGATTTGATCTAGAGAGTGGGAGCTCGAAGATTAAAGGTCCCTTTTCTTTCTACGTTTCATTTTTTGAGACTTTATGATCATGGCAGATCATAAAGTCTCAAAAAATGACATAAACCCAAAAAGTTCTCATGATAAAATTTTCAATTAAAAAAAAAGCGAAGCAACCGGAAAGTTTAGAAAAGTCCCAATGAAAATCTGCCTGTTTCAGGTTCTTCTGACTAAGCCAGATATCGATGACCCACAGAGACGCAAGAACCTTCAAGCCACTATTGAAAGCCTTCTTTCCCTTAACATCATTCCAATCGTCAATGCCAACGACGCCGTGGCTCCAGATCCAAAACTCAACATGGTAATTTCATCACGCACTACTTTTCCATTCAGCTTGAAAGGTGTAGAATGCAAAAAAATTGTGAAAACATAGCCTTCAATAATAATTTTGTCTAGGTTTTCTAAGATCCTTGTGAAAATTCTGTTTTTTACCGATGAATTTACACCTAATTCGGGTGGGGAAAATTACAGTACAAATTCCAACAGAAGCCTCGTTATCTTGACACTTTCAGCACATTTCTGATAACGACTCGCTCGCCGCAAGACTTTCGGCCGAAATCGAAGCCGAACTCCTTATCATCCTCTCAAATGTCAATGGTGTTTACACAGGTGATTGGTCAAGAATACTTCTGTTTTCATTGAGTTTCAATTTGATTTTTGAGGTCCTCCTGATCTTGAAGGGTCTCGGCTTCTTCATACCTATGTGCCGACTGAGAATTCTGGAGTCGCTTTTGGAGCCAACAGCAAGTTCGGCACTGGCGGCATGGAGAGCAAGGTAAAGGGAATAGTATAATAATCGCGAATACGAGAAAAATTGGCGAGAACCAAACAATGTGGAAAAATGGGGAAAAATCAAGGGGAAGGTTCTTTTAACGCGCGATGTGTAACCGAGATTTAATTTAATCCCTCATGAAAAAATATTTGGAAATATTTGATACAAAATAAGATAAGAAATAAGATTCTAAAAACCCAATTTCAACTTTGAATTTGATTTCTTTGGAACTTCCGCCTTTTCCGTTCTGAATTTAGTTTGATCACGTTGGTCTTGTTACTTTGGAGTCACGTTCCTCCTAAATGACCGTTTATGGCGGGATTTCCTCCCCGTAGAGCTAATTAGAGCTTAGCGTAATGGCTTAATTTCACGGGGGTCTCGTGGATATTTTGGGCGGTACCTCATGAATTCAGAATTTTATGAATTTTTCGAGGGGGAGACAGCTTAAGTAAAAAAATCAATCTTTGAATATACGAAAATATTGACGATTTCGAAAAAAAATTCTCAAAGAAGCAAAGGGAGAACTTCGAAGTTTTCGACTGCAAATACTTCTTCCTTAAAGGCATAGGGGCAGTAAAAAACGGTGTTTCAGTTCAAAGCAGTAATTTGTAGAGCTTTTCATTGCGAATCGAACGGTGAACTTGGAAACGTACATTAGTTCCTAGTTTTGAAGAAAAAATAATTCAAAGTCGGAGAAAGGAAAGCTTGAGTTCCCGCGAAAAGGGCACTTTGCAGTAAAGTTGCTCTATGGACAACAGGCTTCGCCACTTTTCGCATTTTCGCTTTTTTCTTCGTTTCTTTCAAATTTTAATTTTTTCTGTTGTCACCAAAGTTCTTTTTGTCACAAAATCTTTATATTCATGTTAAATTTGCAAACTTTGATCGCAAAAATGCTTCTCTTGTGAAAAATGATGATTTTACACAGGTTTCGATGGGGATAGCGATATTTTGTGTTTTCTTTATTATCAATGTGTGTTTTCTGTTTTCTTAATTGATTTTTCAGAGAAGAAACCCTTAATTTGAAGCAGATATCCGGTTATTTCTCCCAAAATGCGAGTCTAATGAGACGTCCGCAACATCGCGTGCACGGCTACTGTAAACATTTGTCTGTATACCGATCCAAAGCTTTTTTCAAAATTAAAGGCGGGAAAGTAAAATCGCGTTTTTTTTCTAAAGTTGTCACATCTGTAATTTTTTTGAGTACACCATTCGATTCGCAAAGAAAAACTGTATAAGATACCGCTTTCACCTGAAACCCCATTTTTTACTGCCCCTATGCCTTTAACGAAAAACTAAAAATTTCAGGTCAATGCTTGCGTGCACGCCCTGGAAAATGGTGTGACAACTGTGATCACAAACGGTCTGACTCAAAATGCCATTACTGACGCTGTGGCTGGAAAGAAAATGGGAACGATGTTCTGCAGAACTCATCGATATGAGGGACCCCCAATCGAGGAAGTCGCCACAAAATGTACTTTTTCTGGTGAAAAAATACAGAATTATTCGTAATTTGAGGCCGTGACTCTGGCCGACAGCTGGCTGCTCTTTCCAACAAGGAGAGATCGGCCATGGTCCGACATTTGGCGGGTTTGTTGGTGGCTCGGGAACAAGATATCATGGAAGCGAATCGATTGGATCTTAACAATGCTAAGGCTAATGGTGAGTAAGCAATAGAATTTGGAAAATCAACGTTCAAGAGGAAAATCTAACAAGTTTTGAAACCTTCCTTCATTATCAATTCTGAAGTTTTCGATAGTCATGAGATATTTAAAATATTCCCCAAAAAAAACTTTTTTTATTTAAGCTTCCTATGATTTATCAAAGTTTTTCAAATACATTTTTTTAAAATTATGTAGATTTTGTTAGAATTGTAGAAATATCGTCATTTTTCTTAAAAATCCTCCATTCATTAACTTCTAGGCCTCGAGCCTCAACTCTTGAACCGCCTAAAAATGACAAAAGCCAAGCTTGCTGACCTTCACAGCGGACTCAATATGATTGCTGAGTCTGCAGAAACCCTTATTGGTAGAGTTCTCAGAAAGGTAAAACAAAAAGAGAAGTTAAACAGTAAATTTGAAATTTTCTCAGGTCAAAGTCTCCAATGATTTGTACTTGGAACAAGTCACAGTGCCGATTGGCAGTCTCATGGTTATTTTCGAATCTCGTCCAGATTGCCTGCCTCAGGTCATTTTTCGTTATTTCCTCACGATTCAACGGTTGAATTTTAGGTTGCCTCACTTGCAATGGCATCTGGAAATTCTCTCCTTCTCAAGGGAGGGAAAGAAGCTGAAGAGAGCAACAGAATGTTGCACAGCATTGTTCAAGTGAGTCATGGTGATGATTGCTCAGAATAATTAGAGGATTATTTTAGGAAGCTCTCGGAACACATGGATATGATATGAGAGACGCTGTCACTTTGGTCAGGAACCGTGAAGACGTTGCAGAACTCTTGCAGCTCAAGGTGTCTATTTATAAATTATAATAGTTTTGTTTGCACTTTTGTCTAGTCATCTCGGAAGTGTCAGTTTCAGAGTCCAAAACGGATGTTTTGAACGAGTTTCAAACTATAAGCGGAAGGAACTTTTTAAAAATGTAAATGACGTGAATTTTTCTATCAACAGGTGTTGAAAAAAAGTTTCAAATTAAAATTAATTCTACTTTTTTCAAAATATTTTGGCTCAAAGGTGGAACTCGACGAAATTCAAGAAAAATCTCTTTGTGCTGTGATCTGGGCACTCCGAAGGGCACCTTAGCAAAATTTTGCCAAACATAAAGTTTGATCTTTTAGACTTTTGTTCTGAAAAACTAATTTTTGAGAGGAAACTTTTTAACAACGTCTCCATAATCCCATTGGAGTTATAAAATTTTTAATTTTTTTGAAATCCCCCAAGAGGTCATCGTCCGGTAGAGAAAGTCCGGTAGCCATTTTGGACCTTGATAATTGACTAATTTAAAGCATTTTTGATTTTTACTGAAAGAGAAGACTTTGAAGCAAAGTTTTCAATGCAGCTTGCTCCAAAAAAAGATTTTTTTCAGGAAAATGAAACAAATTTCAGGATCTCATTGACCTGGTCATTCCACGAGGATCTTCGGATCTCGTCCGAACAATGCAAGAAAAAAGCAAAGGAATTCCTGTTTTGGGACATGCCGAGGGCGTCTGTCATGTCTACATCGATAAAGACTGCGATGAGCAGGTCAGTCATTTCCTAACGTTTTTTTAACAAATTTCCAAACTCCATCCTGTTCCTCCTGTCTTCTGCAGCAACACATTTCGTGACATCAAAGGAAGTCGTTTCATAAACAATTTTTTCGAACTAAACTAAGCACTAAGCAAGGGAAATTTCAAATTCTTGTTTTCTTTTAAAAGTACTTTCAAAAGAAGGCAAGAGAAAATAAACTTGAAGTACAAAGTTTTAATTGAGGAAATTTGTATGCTAACGTTTTCGAAAGAACGATGCAGCCCGAAAATTCAACCATTGGGGAACTTTCGTAGCTTTTAGGGGTTCCTTATTATTTTCAGATGAAGATTTCTGATTTTTTAAACTTGAAGAAAACAAGATAGAAAAAAACTGAGTTTTAAGAAGTTCGTGATGAAGAGAAGGAAACTTCAATCTACCTGAGCTTTAATTCGTCTTTCAATATGCATGCCGGACTCAAAACGGTTTAGGCATGAGATAGTCAGAAAACTTCTAGAAAATACTTCATGTAAAGTCGGCTGTTAATTAATTATTAGAGCCACACGAACGTGAGTCTTTGAGCCGTTCCCCGTGTGGTCAAGACATGTCAAATTGTGTGAAAGCAACTTTTTCACATTTCTTAGCATTAGAAAGCGTTTTTTTAAAACCAATATTTTCATCCTCACTTGAGTGCTCGCACAATTTTATTTTGCAGTTGCGTGATGAAAATATAAACTATGATATCCCTAAAAAGAAAGTATAACTAAATACCAAGATATTTTTCAGATGGCTATCGAAATCGTCCGAGATTCCAAGTGCGACTACCCATCAGCTTGCAATGCCGTTGAAACCATCTTGATCCACAAAGATTTGGCCACGACTCCGTTCTTCGACCAACTTTGCGCCATGTTTAAGGTGGGACATTTTCTCATTTTTGACTTTTAATCATTTTAAACTTAATTAGATGTTAATCTCTCATTAAAAGTTTTTCAGACTGAAGGAGTGAAACTTCATGCCGGACCTAAACTGACTTCTCTTCTTAAATTCGCTCCACCACCAGCAGAGAGTTTGAGCTTTGAGTATGGAGCTCTGGAATGCACTCTCGAGGTTTTTGAAGCGGAAAATATGAATCTTTGACAATTTGCGGAAGTTCAGGTCGTTGACAACGTTGAAGAAGCCGAGGCACACATTATTCGATATGGCTCTGGTCACACTGAGAGCATCATCACTAACAATAGTGAGTTCAAACTTGATTCAAAATTACTCATTTCTGAATTTAGATGACGTTGCTGAGCACTTCTTGAAGCACGTTGAAAGTGCCTGCGCCTTCCACAACGCTTCTACGAGATTTGCTGACGGCTACCGATTCGGGCTTGGTTAGTTTTTTCGTTTTTCAAATTATCAGCCTTTTTCGAGTCATCATAGTAAGATTAAATGAAATAATTTGAAGATATATAACAGTTCGTAAAGGTACAGATTTTTTCACTAATGTGTTAACAATACATTTTTTTAGCCATTTCATCTTACAGGAGCCGAAGTTGGAATTTCAACTGGAAGAATCCACGCCAGAGGTCCGGTCGGAGTTGAAGGACTTTTGACGACAAAATGGGTCCTGCGAGGAGACGGTCATTGTGTGCGTGACTTCAAGGAGGTGAGAATTGTTTAAAAAATTCAAAAAAAAAATCACAATTAACTTGAGTCAGGCATTATAAATATTGAGAAATACGCTAATTTTCATGCTTTCGAAGGAAAATGTTTCGCAAAAAAAGTTTCGAGACAACTTTTAGGAAAAAAGTAAATGTTTTCATGACTTTTTCATCATTTTGGTCAAAGATCTCGTTGACTTAAAAAAGTGCGGATTGGAGAAATCGTAGAAAGACAATTTTGGTCGTAAAGCAATTGAACGTTTCCAGCTTTCATTCTCAATTTTAAGGCCTCTGTGAATGGAGTCTAAATAAAGATGTGAATATATTTCTGCTTGGATTTTCTCTTTTCATCAATATACTTCAGAACGGCAAATTCTCCTACATCCACGAACTGATCAACCCTCAAGAAGTCTATCGTCAGCTTGAAGTTCCAAAAGCGAGCCTCGCCTGAATTAACTTATCCTGTACCCTCACAAATGTATCTGGTCTATTTAAATCTTTGTATACTTGCCAAGCTCCAATTAATTTATTTTTGGTGTCATTATTTGTAATAAATGAACGGTTTCTCAATTGTTGGATTTTTGAGAAAGAAGTGAATGCTGACTGATTCATCGCGCAAATAGAAATCGTTTTTCGGATACGTTTGAGAAGATCGCCTTGGCTTGGTAGATGTTGACTTTGCCAACCTTTGGCCTCGGTCATTGATATAAAGGAAGGAAGTTTGAGAGCTTTCGCGTCATTTTATGATTCGGTTCTTTGGTTATCATACAATGTTCAGATTTTCCTATTTTCGGTGGTTTTCAGAAGGTCAGAAGCTGAACATTGCTTCAAAAATAGGCTTTTCAAAGTAGGACTAGGAGCTTCTTCTATCCGTCTCGACAATTGAAAAAATTTTTCAAAGGGCTTCATACGATTAAAAAAAACCGTTTTTCATATTTTCTGTAACACTATGAAACCTTTCTATTTTTTTATTTTCTCAGAAATGCGTAGAATCGGAAAACTCGAGTTTTCTGAACCTATAATGTAGAATAATCCATACTTTCATTAACCATCATTTCTTGCCTTTTTTTAAGACTATAACTTCAAAAAAACGGTCATTTCTTAGCTTTCTTGCACTTCTCTACCAAATAAAAAGTCTGAAGATGAATTTTTAAAATAAAATTCACCGGTCAATTAGTGTCCAAAACTAGTAGAAATGTCTCAAATATTCAAATTATCTTCCAATCATTTTTACACCATGATATTCCAGGCATGCAAGAGAAATTCGTCATCATCTTTTTGCTATCCTTCCTCTTCGGAACTCAAGCTGATGGGGACATGTGCTCGATAAATAACAATGACCTTCGACGAGCTCTTTCTCTCTTCACCGACCCCATTTGCAGCGCGTGGTGCCAAATAAGGGTAGGCATACATTGAAAAAAACTTCATTTTCGAATCTTAGGAGAGAATGAAAAAAAACTCAAAGGATTGCGGTGTGAACATGAGAATTACAATGAGAAGGAGAACAGCTTTCATGTTTTGCGTCTTCGGAAATTGGTGCAAAACACTAGGAAACATAAATATTTGCCTTGGACCGATTTTCGAGCTTCTTGGTGTTCACAAGCAGGCGGTGGCGAAAAAAAAAATATTGCTCATTTTGAACCAAAACTTGGAAAAAATAAACATTGCGGTCAAAAATAACTTTTTTTTTGATTTATTTTCAAATAAAATAAAAAAAAACCACAAACTCAGAAGAACTGTAATTTTACGGCAAAGTTTCGGTTTAGAAAAGCATAAATTTTCATTTCGTTTTGAGCATCATATAATTTTATTCAAACCTATCGAAAACACTGTCATACGCAACATATAAAAATTTTGGTACCTGCTGAATTTTTTATTCCAAGTTATAGTCAAATAACCAAATGGGCACAATTTTTTAGCCAGCAGTGTACCTTGAGTTCAAAAAAGGTAGAAGTGAAATTAGCGTCATTTCTGAGACCTCTCTATAAAACATTTTCTGATGGATTACACACTTTGTAACTGAACTTCAGGCGTGTGGCGCTGGAGCGTGTCGACCGGTCTCCGAAATCAACGGAAATAGAAACATCCGATGCGTCTGCGAGCAGTGCGGCAATAACTATGAGAGCGTTTCCTACCCGAACAGCAACGACAACGATAACTTTTACAACCGAGGAAACGATCAGTACAACTCTGGAAACGATTATAACTCTCGGAACCCCAATAATAACTACCCTTCAAACTATAGAGGAGGTTCTCAAAAACTCGATCAGTCCCCAGATGACATGATGGAACAATTCTTCACCCCTTTGACCTATGAACGTCAAGCAGGTTATGATGACCGAAATAACTGAATCCCATACAAGGTCTTGTACAAACTACGGAATTCCAAAAAAACGTTTATGAAAAGACCAATAAATAAACTCTTTGGCTTGTTTATTCTACTGACTGTCCAAACTTTACTTTTTGAGCACGCGCTTTCTCAGAAAAATCGGCAATAGGTTGAAAACGTCAATAGGTAAAATTTGTTTGTTAAGCCCGGTGTTTGTGAAAAAAATTTTTCACTTACCAACTCGTCACTTTGTATAAATAGTCCGTTTTCTGAAAGCTGCTGAAGTTGTTGTACGACTCTCGTTTTGTTTCTCTTGGTTCTGAATAAATGTTTCATTTGTTGTATCTGTTTGATACTAAATGTGGTTAAAATGAAAGAAACTATTTTCTAATCGCTCAAAAAGTTCAGGCGAGCAACAGATGGATTGATGAAAATCAAGTTAGAATTTTCTGTTCTGAATAATTACATTTTCTTCATCCTTTTTCCTGTTCTTCCATTTTATCCGTTTTGCTTCTAAATTTATAAATTCTAAAATTTTACAGAATATGCGACAATTTATTATCATTTCTCTTCTGTCCGTGGCTGGACTTGTCCAAGCCGATATGTGCACGTCCAGCTCGCTTCTTTCCTATGTTACTGATCCCGTTTGTAGCGCCTGGTGTCATGTTAGGGTGAGTCGCTTGAAAATCGAAAAATTCCGAAAAAGAGCAGTTTTTAATGTATCGAAAAAAAGTTTCGTAATCCACTATTTCGTTTTCAAAACTCACTAAAAAGTGAATAGAAATCCCAGCCAAAAAAAAAATGGAAAATTCATTCTCAAAGATTAAAATCAATAATTTGAATAAATAAATCATGAAAATCAAAACTGGTTGCCTTCAAAGAATATTCCTGTGATGCAAAAATTTATAAAAGAGAAAAAATTTGGTGGCCTTTTTCGGAAATTTTTGCTTACAAAAAAATCATTGAGATGCTCTATAGAAATTTTTTTACAACTTACGTGAAAGATTTCTAATGGAACTTCAAACATGATAATGAACAAAAAAATGGCTTTTTTTCAGTTTTGTGGATCCGGACAGTGTCGACCAGCTTCAAATGGTGACTACCAATGCTCATGCTCTTTGTGCAACTCTGGCTCGTCCTATTCTTCCAGCGACACTTACAACAATCCCGGAAGTGCTGGAGGAGCTGGAATGAACAACAACTACGGCAATAATTATCCCTCGAACTATCGCGGATCTAACTACGGCAGCCGCGACCAGCAGTACTACGGCCAGCAGGGCGGCTACAATAACGGATATGGAAATGGCTATGGCAATGGTTACGGTAGCAGCGGCCAGAATTTCGACCAGAATTCGGGCTATGGTTACAATAATGGATATAACAATGGCTACGGCAACCAGCAGCGAGGCGGATATGGAAATGCTAACCAAGGATAACTGCATTTCTTCTTTTTTTTTGTATAAAGTATTTTGAACCAATCAAATTCTGTAACTCAAAACACTAATCACAGAAAAATTCAGATCACAGTTTCAAAGCTTTAAAAAATTTATTCTTTCTTAGTGCAATAAATACGCAAAATGAATACATAATTAAATTACAACTATTGCGGAGAAGAAATCAAAATAAATGGAAAAGGAAGGAAAAAATCACAGGGACTGCAAAATCTACCGGCAAATGATCTACTATGCAGTTTTCTAAAAACAAAGAAGCACAAAAGTTTGCAAAAAAAAAATGAGACAGAAACAGGTCCTATTATGACAATGTAAAATAGGAGGAGCTTGTCTTTTTGGTCTGGTTTTTTTCTAACACATTTTTCCAAAATTCAAAACCAACAAGACAAGGAGAAATTGTTGACGTAGACAAAAATATGGCATTTGGAGTTATTGTAAAAGCAATGGAACCAAGAAAGTTTTCGTGAACTGAAAGAAACAACAAAGTGACCGTAAAAATAAACATTTTTTTGGATCACAGCAGCATTTCCTCTATTGGGTGTGTATAATCTATATGATAAGCTATGCAAACCGAAAAAAAAACTAGAAATTGTAGTCAAAACACATTGAAAGAATCAACAAGAAGCATTCGCCTCAGAGGCCGCAACGTCGCCCGAAAACGCTTCAAAATTGTGAAAAGACAAGAAAAGTTCATTCTATGAATCAAAAGGGAAATAAAAAACACACACGACTTTGCAACAAGTACAAGACGAATCGTTTATAATTATCGAAAGATAAAAACATAGGACGTGCTAACTAACAGAGGAAAAAAAAGCAAACCGTGCAAATGCAATAAAGAATTTCTGGTCTATACAACAAACAAGAGACAAGGGAAAAGTGGCAAAATGTTTATGAAACATGGCAAGCGCAAAATTATAGGTTCACCGTTAACTTTATATATTTTTGTGATTTTTTGCGTCTGCGACACCGGGATACAATACAAGTTGGACAAGAACAGAAGGGGTCAAAAATGGAGTTTAAAGCTCAAAAAAGGTATTTTAGTTGACGAAGAGGAAAGGATTAGGCTGAAGTTGACGAAGGGCCAACTGCAGCAGTGATTTTGATTTTTGGAAGTCTTCTTCTGCCACCTGAAATCATATCTTTTGTCAATTGTAAAAATAATAAGTTTGGCCGAAGAGTTTTGCGGAAGCTTTTACGGAGGGACTGACTTAAGAAAAAATAAATATATTCCCGAGATTTTTATGAAATCCGTCCATTCTTCTTCAAAGATTATCAAAAGTAGTTTGTTCAACTAACCCTTAGTCATTCCAGCATCGGTGATCCCATTCAAAGCAGCTTCTTTGATAGCGGCCATCATACGCTGTCGGACTTCACGGATCTTGAGCACGAGACAGCCTTTTGTTGGGAAAATGGTCTTATTACGCTGCTGGAATGAGTGCGTCTCCAAAGCTAAAAAATAAATGTTCAGTTTCGACACAGAATTCGATAATACTTGTTGGGAACAAGCCGACGTCTTTCAAGAATTTGGTCACGAAAAGGCGACGAATTTCGAGAAGTTTCTTGTTAGAACCTTTCTCACTCGCGTGAGGAACAGGAGTCATTGGGGCCGACTGCAAAAAATGTACTTTGAAATGAAAAAAAGAGAAGATTTGGGGTGATTTTTTCGAACAACTAAAAGAGATCGAACTCACTTGTTCGAAGACAACTTCAGGATTGAAATTGGCCCCAAAAAAAACATGCGGCGGAGCTGTGCCAGGATTGGATAGCGGAGACTGGAAAGAAGCTGAAGAGGGTGATACTTCTCCAACGGTTGGAAGTGCCGATTGAGGAACCGACATGGTGCGAGCCATGTACATTGGAGTGGCTGGCAGACTGACAGAGGTCTGCAGAAATTTTTCGAAGTGAGAAGGTTGTTGAAATTCTTACCGAGAGCTCCGCGGATGGAACAAATTCAGGAAGCATCGCAAATTTTTGGGTGAAGCCAACTTCCTCCAGAAGTCTAAACAAATTGGATGAACTTTTTTTCAAAACTGGCAGAGTTTTGAATGGCTCAGGGTTTTTTTTGGATCAGATGCTCCTCATGAAGGAATCCGAACTTTTTGATAAAAGGAATTATTTCGAAATTTGAATAATTTCAATTTTCTCCTGTTCTAAAAAAGTTATTGGTAATTGAAAATATGTCTTACATTAGTAAAGTTTTTTCTGCTTCTTTAGAATTGTGATTGCTCTGAAAAGACGCAAAGCTAGAATAAAACTTCTTTTCAACTTTCTCTAGCCATTCCAAACACCACCATTTTTTCATCAAGTTGATTATCTCTACCTATCCATGGTAGCATCATCTCTTTTGAAAAGCTTCGGAGTCGGTTCATCGGTCACCGAGTCGACAGTCTCCACGTCAATCTCCATCGACACAGATGACGTCACTCGTTTTTTGCCTGAAGTTCAACATTTTTTCTGAGAAGTTCACAGTTTCACCGACCTCGAGCCATTCCAAGCTGAGCTGGTGTGGGCTGCAGAATGAATGGCTTTTGCGCCAGAGTATCTTCTGGCTCCTCATCGATACTCGAGACATCCAAATCCGTCGTTTCCTCAGCTTCATCCTCCACATCAACCCTTTAATAATCGAATTATTTCAAGCTCCTTCTTTCGCCAACATACTCTTGCTCCGACGAAACCGAAATGCTCTCCATTCTCTTTTGCAACAGCGGAATTCCAACTTGCTCTTCTTCAATCGTGTTTCCCAAGCTCTTCAAAATTTTATTATATTTACATGTTAGAACATTCTCGGGCATACTTTTGATGGATGAGATTGTGTTTCTTCGCTGGGCAAAGGTCTGGTCAGTGGAGTCGTCTGAAAAAGAAGGGTAAGTAACTAAAAAGAAATCAAAATAAATGAACAAAAAAATTGGGTTTATAGATATTCAGCTCAGAAATGAAGTTTTCAGGTTTGAAAGAGTTTGAACAGTTAGTTCAAGAAACTCAAGTTTTCTTCAAACTTTCGGTTTTCAAATAAAGTAATAAAAAGTAACTTGATCGTTAAATTTTTTTTTGAGAAAAATTGATGTTTCTGTATTCTTATTTTCTCTACCTGTGATGTCAAAGAAAATATAGGTGCGGTAAAAAAGGGAAGGTAGAGTTAAGAGAGCGCAGACTTTTGGGCAGATAAAAAGCATTTCTCAAAACCAAAGAGGCGTTCTGGCTGCGCTTTTTTTTGGTTTTCTAATCGGAGTTTTTCAAACTCACTTTTATGAGTTAATTCTCAAGTTTTTTTTGTCCACTCTCTTGCATTAATTCAAAGTACTTCTTACGATTTTTATACTTTTTAGAAAATCTTTTCATCTTGATTTTTCTTTGCTGAATTTCCATAAACTTTGATAACATAAATATCAGGTTAGTCGATTAGCGATGGGGGGTCAAAAATTCACATTTGTCAACAAGGAGCAGATCGGCGCGACGCGGTTCACAGGCATCAAATGGCTGTGAGGCGACAAGGCGTGGATTGCGTTGGCAATCGCCGCCTGTTGTTCGAAGAAGTTGGTGTAGTTCGGCTGTAATTGTCACTCCGGTGTTGTTAAAATGTCAAATCAAGCCGTTTTGTTGTTGAAAAAATCTGGCTTCTAACACAGCAAGTTTTGGGAGAATCAACTCAGAAAAACTTTTCAGGAAGGCGAAATCTACGCGGAACCTTGGAAATTCCAAAAAAGGCCAAAATTTCCTCTGATGGAGTGAGTATAGTTCTATACAGCTTTGTAGAACTACTCATTTTTCAAAAATAGTTTTTCAGAGCTCATTTTTCATCGCATTGGGGTTTTTACGCGTTTATTCTCATAATTCAAAAAATTCCTAGTTTCAGAAAGCTCCTTCAGATTCAGTAAAGAATTTTCAGCCAAATCTGCGAATTACAAAGCTCCGGGTTCGAGGACCTTCCATATTAGGCGAAGCGTAGTACTGACCATCACACGACTAGGCTGAAGCATCGGTTGCGGAGAACGGTGAAACATTGGGTTCGAAGCCGTAAAATCAGCTGGGAGGACGTTTTGAGCTGGCGATTGCGTTGAAAACCCCATTGCGGACGAGACGAGCAGGTTGGACAGCTACAGGAAGCAAGGTTAAAGCGTTATTTCCATTGGGGGTGGGCAACGGCATACACAAAAAAACTTTCTTAACTCAGAAAATGGTTCGAAATCCAACGCTATACACCAAACATTTTCCCATAGTTGTTAATGAAAATAATTTTGGCCTTTTTATTAATAGCTTCGTTGACTTTTCAAGTTTTTTGAATATCCATGTGCAGGTGCTCATGTTGCTTGGCCTCTTATTTTAAGAACATTCGATTTTGCCAATTTTCTCAACCATTCGGTCTTTCTCTGACCAATGGAGCAGTTTTTTTCGAGAATATCAAGAATTTGAAAAATCAAACATGCACAAGAACATCTTCTCTCTTCCAATCTCTTTTCAGATTTGCGAGTCAAGCATTCCCAAATAGCCATGCATCTTTTTTATTCGCTAAAAAACGACCAACCTGTGCAGTTAGGGTAGCTCTGTGAAGTGCATTGACATCGAAAGCAGCATTGAGCTGAGAAGACGAAGGAAGGCCGACGTTGGGAGGCAAGAAGGCCGAGAGGCCGTTGACAAGAGCCGGGCTTGGAAGACCCATCGAAGCGCCGAAATCTCCGGGAGAAGCGCGGAGACCAGCGGCCTGTTGTTCCGGTCGGATGAATGGACGGAAACCGGTCTGAATTTTGTTTTTTCAAATCTTGTAGACATTTTTCATTGAGCTGAGTGCATTTAATTTTTCGAAGGAATAAAGTTTAGATTTTCTCACCACTGGAGTCATTGGAGTCATCGGAGTCAACGGAGTGATTGGGCTCAAAAGAGCAGATCCGTCCATACAGGCCCGAGCCAAATCGTCCGCATTTCCCATTTCGAAATCGAAAACCTGAGAAAAAACTCTTGTTTCTTGGAAACTTTTTCTCAAACTACCGTAGACTTGTTCGGAGTGCAAACGGCTGGAGTTGAAGCGGTAGAGTCGGTCCTCTTCTTCTCCTTGTTGCTCCATTTCCATTCTGGGTGCGCTTTGAAGTGAGCTTCCTTTACCTTGAATTTGGAAAGTGAATTTGTTTTTTCGGCGTTTAGGCGAACCTGAGTCGCAAGCTTGTGATATTCAGCCTTCTCGTCGGTTCCCAGAGCGTACCACCATTCACCGAGGATTTTAGAGACGGTGCGATTGTCTCGGTTTGGATATTTCTGGTGAACAAGTGGACGATGACGCTTCGAGAATATCATGAAGGCGTTCATAGGACGACGGATGTGGTCAGGGTTCTGAACATAACTTGTTCACTTTTCATTTCACAATACTTTTTTTGCAACATCTAAGGATAGGAGCAAGCTTTTTCATCCTTTCTGTTACGTGAATAAGTTCAGGTGAGGGATCAAGATCCCTATGAAGCATTTATGAATCCGAAAAACGCAAAATCCCCAATTCTCAGTCGCAGTGCAGAGGTTTTTTTTTTATTTTACAAAACACTGTGGCAAACCGACTGCAGGCAAGATTCATTGTACATCTTACAAATATTTAACTAAAACTTTGAACTAACCGTATTGCGAGCCTTGCTCTTCTTCTTGCCAACGTTGTCTTTCTCGATCCCAAGAGTTGCCATGAGCGAATTAGGATCTCTGGAAGACGCCGAACTCGTAGCCATCGCCGGTTTGCTTTGTTGTCCTCCAAGTAGGTCAAACTTCGGCTCAGCTGCAATTTCTACTAGCTTTTATCCACCCTCAAACCGGGTTGTAGCCCGCGTCAATTTGAATTGAAAAGCACATGTTATCATCTACGAAATGTAGTCATTCATGATTGCGAAATATGAAAAAGTGCGCAATAGACGGATAGACTCCAATATGACAAAGAACCCACCAAAAACATTGTTTGTGAGCTGCAGATCGGAGCTTATCGTTGTGTTGGTGTTCTGAGATAATACTTCATTTAAAAAGTCCGAGTGAGTATTGCAAACCTGTTGAGATGACATAAGCTGGTCGTAGGACATTAAGCCTTGAGTTTGGATGCGCAGCTCGTGGCTGATTTCGGTAGCGGCTGGATAAATCATTTTTGAACAATTTCGAAGTGAGTTTTGATATTTTTCAGTTTTGATGTCCACAAGGTCACTTTAATGAAAAGTCCTACCCAAAATATACACAAACTGAGTTATCAGAACTTTAGGCCTTATTTTAAACTTGGTAACTTTCTAAGAAATTAAGCCTAATTTTGGAAACTTACCCATTTTATCGCCGGGCGTGGTCGGATTCCCAGCACCGGAGGAAGTCACGCCTCCACTCGACGATCCGCCACTTCCTCCATTAATTTGAAAATCTAAAACTTTAATCTGTACTAAGAGCGTCAATGAATAAAAGATGCGCTTTTGGACAGATTAAAAAAAGTTCTTTCTCTTAAATTCTAAGAAAAAGAGAAAGGGATTTTTAAACTAAGGGTCAAAAATGCTTAAACTTTACAAAATTATTTTTTTCTTTCTTTCCTTGTGGTTTTATCACTTCTCAAAAATTAATATTTCAATTTTTTTGGACTTTTTAAAACTAGTTCTAAATAGAATTCAAATATTTTTCGAACTGTTTTTGTACAACAAAACTAATTGTAGAAACTGGATATCGATCGATTGTCTTCAATTTTGTGAACAAAAATTCTATTTATTAAGTTTTTATTGACTGCCAGATTGCGTAGAGAAGTGCGAAAACCTTATTACACTGCCGAAAAAAACATTATCCGGTGGTTTCGTGATCAAACTACATACAGTCATTTTTTTACATTTTTTACAAAGCTTTAATCGGATACTATCTTTTTATGACAGACAAAAGAGCAAAATTTACACGATCCGTTTCCATTTTGTTTTCTTTTTTTGTTTTTTTCGGCGAAAGTTATGCTTTTTTTTCAAGTTTTGCACGCACTTGAGCTAGACCCGTGTGGATTACTGGAGGAGGAAGAGGCGCCAGCGCCCGCATTTCCATTGGTCGAATCGTCATCATCGTCAGGTTCTTCCATTTTTTGACACACGCTCACGTCTGTAAATCGCGACCGTTTCCTTTCATAACATGTTTTTGTAGTGACCCGCTTTTTGAGCTGCTTTTTTTTTTTTTGAGTGGGTCTGACTCTAAATTGTACTTTGCGTGTTTTTGACAGAAAATGAGGCAGAAAGAAAAGAGATCTTTGGCTCCTCTTATTCATACCTCGGTACCTAGAAAGCGAATTTTCCCGAAAACTCAAGCCGTAGTCCCACTAAATACTTTACTGGAACTTTAAAGTTAAGTTCTTTTTCTAACTCATAACTAAGAATAAAAAAGCTCAGTAAATTTATTCGTTAGATGAGTCAACTAACTGTCATCCTCGTCTTCCTGCTCCTGTTCAGCTTCTTCGCCCTCAGATCGGCGAACTTCCTCCTCCTCCTCAGGCTCTTTTTTCAAGGCTTTGATGTTATTATTGTTGGCCTGCTGTTGGGCTGCCAACTGTTGTTGAAGAATTTGAGCCTGTAAGGACATCATCGAAGTCAGATTAGAAGGATGAAGGTTTTTACAATGGTAAATTATCTCTTGTAAAATTCTTTGAAGCACAAAAAAACTTTCAACAAAACACCCTTTACTCTAATTATTTTTCTCATTGAAAGAAATGTAATTTTTAATAAAAAAATAAGCCTCTTTGGCTCTCTGATGGGAAGAGTTAAAAAAATAATTTTTCGGACTTAGTTCGTATGATGAACTCATAAGGTACTTCTTTTTTCTTGTTATCTGGAAAGTTTGAAGTACCTGCTGCTGGAGAAGAGGCGCCGTGATGTGTGACAAGATTGCCGGGTTCAGTTGGAAGAGGTTGTTCTGAGAGAGAATCGGAGAGCCGAACGGATGAGTTGAAGTTGAAGAGACCGAAGTGACGTCATCCAAACGTCTTCTGGCCCCTGGCGGCGGCATCAGAGATGGCAGAAGCTGCTGCATCTGCGCGTACGCGTTGTCGAAACGCAGGTTGCTCATTGTGAGGAACGCTTGTTGAGCTCGCTCGGCCTGTAATGAGACTTTTCCACAATTTCCAATAAAAAAGAAAGATAAATGAAGTCCACGAACAGTTTTGGGCAAAAAATTGGCATTTTGAAACTGTTTGAACAGTTGTAAATCAACCTATTGATTTGAAAAAATGCCCCTCGCAAAGTTTTTGCCGTTTTTTATTTGTCTAGAGCGTACAAAGACCAAGTCGACCAGGCTAGCCAAAAATTATGAAATAGAAGTGGAGGTCGGAAGGATTGAAAGGGATTGAATAGTTTGAGAGGCGTTGGAGATAACATGGAAGATACTAGAACAGTTTATGGGGATGTAACTAATCTGAAGATTTGCTGCTTGATACACGCCCTAAGCTCGACAGGCGGTCCAGAAGTTGTGGTTATAAAATTAAAGTTAGCTAACAGACCAAATATCTCCAATTCTCGGCTTTGAGCTGAATATATTAACCAATTATGGCAAAAAGGGGGATGAAGAACTATATTTTCAAGCTTCAGGTTGAAGTTAAAAGAGAAAGTTGTTTCTCGAAGTTGTCTTTTTTCGGCTTTTGTTGACTATTTTGAGCTTGAAGCCTATAGTCTATGAAAAAAAAAACGATTTGCGCAAGTTGATAGTTTCACGGTGCATGAATGAATTTTTTCGAGTTGTAGAAAAGGAATAATTTGAGCATAACGGAGTTCTTTTTTATCGTATCTGAGGTCTCTGAAAAAAAAACTTCTTGACTGGAGCTTAGAAAATAAAGGTTGGAAAGAATTTTTTGTGAAATTCAGATTTCAAACCTAATCAAACTCAAAAAGCTGAGATAGAATGGATAGTCAGAAAAACCGGAAAAAATCTCCACGAAAATTTTTCAAAACTGAGCTCAAACAAAGTTCATGAAGAATTAAGATTGAGCCGGAAGTGTCGGCATGAAATTTGGGTTAAATGGATAGAGAAGCTCAATACAGAGGCGCGATTTCCGGAATTAGAGTATTCACACCGGCAGACACTTTTTTGCAAGCGTTTGTAATCACACACGGATTCATACAACACAATGCCGGTGTTTTTGCCTCTCTTTCTAGTGAATGTTCGAAAAAAATAACAAGCCTAAACAGAGTCGAGGTGGTCTCTTCAACTCTTTTAAACACGCGATGATTTTTCGGCCACTTTTTTTCACCGAAACTATTCAAACGGCTCTACTGAAAGCAGATATGTTCGCCAACGTCATTACGGACCTCCAAAAAGCGAAAAAAACGCGATATTCAGACGAAAAAGAGGAATTTTTCGCGCCCTGGACATTTGCCTATCAAATTTCTTTCGACAGCCGAAATGACTGCGTTTGATAGAAATAAGAGCGAGAATATGCGAAAAATTAAGCCATTGTACCCTTTTATGTAGGTTTTCCGCTCGTCCTTTGTGTTTTTAATTTTAGACCTGGAAAAAACGTGTCGTGCTTCCTGATTAAGCTCGAGTTACGGTAAGCCAAGGAATTCTGATATTTTTTTGCAACGGAAAAAAATTATTCATTCAGAATAAATTATATTTTAGCATTTGGAAGCTTTTTTTGAAAAAAATTAACTCTTTCCCAAATGAGAAAGTTTCGAAAATACTTTGGCTTTAATTATTCATGCTCCTCTGCAAAACGACTATTTTCCAGTTATTCTTGAATAATTTCATCGGAAATTCTAAAAATCTATCGCATTTGACAAGGACAAAGAAAAAGAAAAAAATTTTTCAGAATAGCTTAAAAAAATGCAACTTTGAAGATTTTTGTTTTGATCAAAGATTTCTTCTCTTTTTTGGATTAGGATTTGGCCGAAGGCAGGGATTTTTTTCCGAGCTTAGTTGATTTTTGAAATGTAATCGTATTCAAATCATCAAAATATCATTTGACGTTGCCTAATCTGCGTAATGTAGAAAAAAATATCTGAAGCGCAAGTAAGTGCAAATAAATAAACCATTAGTTTTTTTTTTCCGGAAAATCATTTCTCGAATTGAGGAGTTTGAATTGTGGAAAAAATTTTTGTGAAACAAATGAAAAGTTTTAGTTTTTTTGGGAAACCAGTTCATTGTTTTTATATTTGTCAAGTTCTGGTAAAAGCTTATTGTCAATTAAAATTGGTAGATAATATTCCACAAATAGATTGATTGAAATTTATCGGTGTTCCGAGTTCAAATTTTAACCCAAAGATTCGCTTCAAGAAATGGCTTAAAAAACGCACCCGAAACGAATCGAAGTTCTGTTCTTCTGGACGGATGTTAGCCGGAGCTGAGATGGGGTTGATCTTCGGCTGGAACATGGAAGACTGTCCGACGCTAGGAATCCTCGGAGGTGCCGAATTCGGCATGAATGACTGCTCGGCGGCTCGTGCGAACAGCGAACCTGCAAAAAAGGCCGCTTGATAGGATAAGGCGTCGACGTCAACGTGATTTCTAAGGCTTCTGCACGTACGTGAAGTCACTTCCCTTGCCAGGTTTCATTTCCACAACATTTTCAGCGTATTTCTCAATTGGCCTTGATTGCTTTTGAACATTCCCCGAAATACTACGGTCACCGCTGGGCTTCGTTCTGTTACTTTTTTGAAACTCTTTTTTTTTGAATCAAAGGCTTCAGAGATACTTCGTTTGGTACTTCTTTAAACTCTCTCGTAATGGGTCATTCCAAAAAGCTCGACGTTTTTTTCAGTTCAAAGAGTGATCGTGAGAATAATGAGGAAAGGCGTGAACTGCATCTAGTCCAACAAATGGTTTTTGTATTTTTTCTGCTTTTGCAAAACCACCAAAGAAACTTTGAATGAAAGTAAAATTTTGTAAGACTCTTAAGAAAATACAAAGCGAACATGTCAAAAGGTCATGAAGTTCTCAGAAATCTCTGAAAAAAAGCATTCCTGGCGATTGTTGTTGGTAAGCGCCACCTAAATTGGGCTAATGTGATAAGGCTTCTGCGCACTTTTTCCTGCAAAAGCCGCTATGACGGAAGTACAGCAAAAAAATAATAATCCGACGACGTCAATGGTCAAAATATCAAGTTTGAGCGCCAGTGAGACGTGTTTTATTTCATTAGCTTGACCTGGTCCTATAAAAAATCTTTAAGGTGAGTAGGAGAATGTTCAACTCTCATCAGAGACTCTTTGAATCATTCTACGTGTCGATAGGACTTTTTGAAGCAGAAGCATAATTTCAAATAACCTGGTTGCATGTGGCTAGATGTGCATCAATTCCAATGCGACTATTTCGAGTCGTGCCAACTTTTTTTTTACCCGACTAGAAACGACTTACGCGTTGCCGTTGCAAAAGAACGTCGCATGCATAAACTTATGAATAAACATTAGGTGCCTTTTTGTAGTGAAAAGAGAATAGTTCACACTTTTTTTGAAGACCACTTCCCTGTGTTATTAATTTAAATAAAATGTTTATACTTTCATCGAAGCCTCTGGTGTAACTTTCCTGAGTTTGAGTGAATATCTCAGACCAAATATTGCTAAAAATAAGCCGATATCTCATGTAAAAAAAAAACAAGAAAAGGGTTTTTCTGAGTAATACTTGGTGATCGCAGAAGCGGCAGTTTTTTCACACTGTTGAAAATTTCTAAGGTTCTGAATGTACCAGGAATCCTACTATAGTGTCGTAGTTCCACTTAAAAGGGGGATGAACTTTCTCAAGTTATATTGTTCTGTCCATCAATCCGACACTAATAGAGCTCTTTAACGGACCAAAGCCCATATTTTTTTACAAAAATATTTAACAGAAAAATAAGAAAGAAAGAGAAGAGCCACGTGCCGCCTACACATACGCACACATTCTTGGCAAGAAAAGGTGCACCGCCAAAACGTTTCTCAAGTAATGACTAACGTGCCGTCTTCTTTTCCCCTTTTTTTCTTCGAATTGAATGCCGTCTTACCAAAAAATGTTGACGTGTTTACTGGAGCAGAAGTGTACAACTTTTCCACAATACAAAACCAAGTCATATATTTTTTCTTCTTTCAATTTCTTTCTCTTTTGTGAAAGGTAAAGCTACCTGGTGCAGCTCGATTAAGACCCAGAAGTGCGCTAGCCACTTCAGTGACGTCGCTTGGAGCACTAGAACCTGAAGCGATAACGGCTGAGCCGCGCTCGTCGTCGTGAGACCACTCCATTGTCGAAGCTCCTGAAACAGGGATGAATGCTAGTGTTCAAACTAACTGGAACCAGTATCTTGGATAACTTTTCAGAACGCTTTTGAAACAGTGTACTTCAGAACTTCCAGAAGAGTTGTATTTTTGAAGTCAATATCTCAAAACGAGAAAAACTGTACGCTACAATCGTGAAAAAATTAATAATTCTCCAGACGTCAATATATTTAATTTTCCAGGTTAGTCTTTATTTCTGTGAGAGCTGAGCTCAAAAAAAGAAAGTCGGAATAGACTCTGCTGAAAGGTGATTAAAACTCCAGAAAAAGCGTGGAAAATCCGATTTTGTTTAGAACAAAGCTTCTTACAAGTGGCAATTCTGGTAGGCTTAACAAATTCACATGATTCTTTTTTTCAATATCCAAATCCTTTCGATGTGATTTCCACGGATCACTTTAAAAATAGAAAATCTTGAGCGAATTTAGACTAGTTATTCATTTAATTATTCTCACTTGATCCGTTTTTTCCTGGTTCACTTAATTAATTGAAATTTCATTAATATAAAATGATCCAAAATCAAAAAAATGCTTGAAAAAAAGGGCTCATGAAAGGAGAAAAAAATGCCAGTACGATCAGAGATCGGTAATCTCTTTGCAATTAAATCCCAGTGGGTCTTTTTTCGGTAAAATCAATGGGAAAATCATAAGTTTTCTTTTTGATATTGCTTTCAGATGGAATTTCACAAAATTTTCTCAGATACAAGAGAATGTGAGTACTCTAAAAGGTCAGAGTTTCTCCTTAAAATTTGAAAGCTTTCGGAAAGACCGATTTTTTTAAATTTCCAAAAATGAGTAGCTGGGCGCGAAAGGAGTTTTTTTCAACGCTTTATGAATTAGACTATGAGATCAAAACTTAGAATTTGGGGATCGGTATATTTTGTAGGAGCGCAAGTCGCCATGTGGTCGGGTGCAATTTCATTCGAACCCTCGGCAGCCGTACTGCGTGTATCTATTCTACAAGCGAAATAAAAATCCTGAACCAGGTTCCGAATTATTATAAACCAGCTCAATGCAGAAAAAGAGGAGAATTTGTGCAGTGAGGTATAACTCAAAAAAAATGAAAGAGTTATGAACTGAACCCATAAAAAATGAATTTTCGCGCCCTCCAACTGCGTATTTTTTTTTGGCGAGTTTCATACGCTGACGTAAATAGAATCTGATTCCGAACCAGAAAAAAATTCTGCGCTTGAGGTAACAAATTATCAAAAATTAGATTTCACGACAGCGTTTGCGTCAATGGCCTCTGGTTAGATGTAGTTTGGAAAAGTTCTTTGAATTTATGATTTTTGTGGAGGAGTTTCTTTTGCGGAGATGGAGGACAATCTAGTTGAGGAAAAGAAATGTACAGTGTTAAATTGCGGAAGAAACTGGAGAACGGGAACATTCGCATTCTCACCATCCGTATCGGATTTCCATTCAAGAATGCCAAACAAGTGATACATATCGAGGCGGCTATGGCCTTTCAAGTGTAGAAGTGTTCTTTGTTCATTAATTTGAGAAGGAATTTGGCAAATAAAAGAAGCTGTTGGAATCCATTTGAAGCCATTGAAGGCAAGCCTTTGGTAGAAAAAAGAAAGGTACGGTTGGGGTTTCTTAAAGGGGTTTCTTAAAGTTTCTAAAGTACCGTTTCCACTTCAGAAAACTATCAAAATTGAATTTTTATTTGTTTCAATAAAGCCACGAGTTTTTTTTTGCCTCTGAATTGATATTAAGGTTCATTCACTACTTCAAAACGAAAAATACGTACAAAAAAGTTTCGATAAAGTTCCTCTTTAGGCTCTTCATAAGACTTGGAATTCAATAAAATCAGGAAGAACCATTATTAAGTGACGTTAAAAGTCCTCATAAATTTTAAATTAAAATTAGAAGGGAGATGAATGCTCATGGCGTTTTTTGGCGCTGTTGATTTTCAAATGAGCAAAAAGTGCAGCTTTTTAGACTGATATTAAAGGAAGGTGTCTTGAAGTACATCTTAGCAGAGTTTCTTCAAAAGGACAATTTTCGCTTTTGCCTTATCAAAAAAAATTTATGAAGATGATTTCGAACTGTCGAAAAAATGTTTTAACCAGCCTTGGTGAAAGAAGTTGAAAAAGGAAAAAAAAATTCGATCACTTATCTTGTAGTCAAAAACCACCCAAAATCAACTACTCGTTCAAAATTCGTGTTCATTCGCCTCAAGTCTTATCGAATCAACCTCTAACCAATGGAAACCTTTTCCATTTCCCTCCCTAGGAGAATGAGTAACTTCTCTTTTTTTACTTCACTTCAGCTTCTGTTTTAATGATTACTAATGCTGTGGGCGGTCTAAATAGAGAAAGTTGCAAATAAGCTGGAAACGAAGCTAATGAATAGAGTCGAGAAGTTCAGAAGTTCTTGCAAAGTCTGTGGAAGCTCAGAAGAATAGATATTCTCAAGCACAGACTGAGAATATTCTTTGAATTAAACTCCGTTGAAAAAATTAACAATTTTGGATAAAATTAGTGGTTTTAGCTTTCATTTTTTGAAGATAAAGGGTTTTAAAGAGATTTTCACTTTTCACACGAAAAACAGACATGATTACTGAAATTTCATCAAATAATAAGTTCAAAATAGTGCCATAGTCCAGTTCTATTGAAAGTTTAAGCGATTTTTCTCAAAAAGCGGAAAACGCTTCTATCTTTTTCTTTCACTTTTGAAGACGTTTTTACTTATGAATCGAATTTTTTGCAGGCTTCATGGCTTAAAAATTGGTGATGATCAAAATTATCGTACAGGAAACGCCCGACTCAAAACTACTTCCGCTTGAGAGCATTATAAACTTTCTCAGCAAAGTCTTGAATCAAAACCGTTTTTCGATCCCGAGGAGTTGGGAAATTTTTGCTCCACTAAAGGCTCCTCAGTTTTTAGGAGCGAAGTAAAATGTCTCTTGATTAATGAAAAACGTTGAAACTCCAAAAAACACTCGTACTCAAAACTTGCAAAAATAAGAAAAAAGCATGGCAAGTTGCCGAGTCACGCCAGCAAGAAAGGAAAAAAAAGAAAAGTGCAGAAAGGAACGGCATTGTGTGGGCTCCATTTCCTCTCGTAATTCAAATTATTGTTTCTGCGAAAAAAAAACGACGTTCTCCAAAAGAATGTACAAAACGTACAGTTCTTCCGAGCTTGCTTTTTTTCTCGGAAAAAAACAAATGGAATGGAAAAAATTGTAATAAAGACGTTCATAAGGTATGAAAGGCGCCAGTGTTTGTTATTCAATAAATTATTCATACGGCTTCAGGTTTCCTTAATTAGCTAAAGTATTTGGGATTGGTCAGTAGTTCGGTTGGAATTATTTAGTAACAGCGCTCGAACTAAATAAAAATGGAGGGAAATTGTTCGAAACTGTCTCTCGAAACTTGTCACGGCAGATTATAGACCAAACAGCGATCGAAAAGAACAAAAAAAAATCGCTTTTTTTCGGGTGAAGTTTTGGCAACGCGTTGCTCTCAAATTGAGTTAAAATAGTAGAATTCATATTGAAAAAAGGCTAAGTCCTACGGAAAACTCATTTTTCAGATCATTAAAAAAATCTATGCTTGAAGAATAGTTTCCCAGGGCAATAATGACTCAAAAATTCCCATTAAAGATTGAAACTATTCAAAAATAATTTGGATTGGTTTCTCCATTATGAAAACGAAAAAGTTAAATTTTTCAAACGGACCTTGATACGGCACGCGGCCACAAAACGATATTGTCAAGCGCAAGTAGTTTTCGGTCGGGCGCAACTTGAAAAATAAACTTCATAGGGAAACTATGTCATTCATATTTTCGACATACGTGTATTTTTATTTATTCAAAAAGAAGTGAGAATAGCTCAATTTTGAACCTTGAAGAAAATATTCTTTTTAGAAAGGCTCTACTAAAGAAAAATGAACAAATGGTCTTGTGGCTACCATAATCCCGCCCTGTTGAAAGAAACAAAAACTCAATCAAAAAACAAAAAAGGAAGTGCGGTGCTATACACTTGCTCTTTGTGCAATTGACATCCTCCTAATTAATTAACAAGGTGTTCGTCTACTCATTTTCAAAAGGGGAACAGTGCTGAATCACAAAAAAGACGGCCTCCCGTGCGCCAAATGTCGGCGGCGCAACTTTTGGTCCTCAATTAATTAAACTTTTCTATTTTTGTCCTGGTGGCATGAAGACTTGCTGTAGAAAACCAGGTTATCTATCGGATTTTTTTTTTTGAATATCGAGTAGGTCTACATTTTGGCATTATTGACAAAACGTTCGGAATATTTTTCGAAATGGTCGACTTTTCGCAAATCGCAAAGACGTTGGTGTTTTGGATGGTGCTTAGGAAATATCTTTTGATTGTAAGAAATATCCAATTTTTCTTGGAAGCTGAACATTTTCCGTTTTTTTTTTCTATGGCGCATTGGATTGTGCAAAAAGAAACCGTCTCTTTGAAATTTTTGTCAAGGTCTGACTTGTAAATCAAAAATAACTTAAATAGTTTTTCTTTTCTTTTTTTCGAGTAAATTGCTCCAGGTCGACCACAAGCCAAGCGTTTTTTTGCCTACAATTCTCTAATGCTGTCAATACTTTTTTTGAGGAAAATCGAGCTCATTGTAGAAAAAGAAAAAAATTCATAGAGTCTACTTTTTCAGCAAATAAAAATTGTCTTGCATTGCGATATCCAAATGCAAGAACGCAAATGTGAGAGGAATGATCTTTCACCTCATTAATTGTTTTCTGAACGGAAAAAAAAAGTGAAACTGTGAAGATAAAATTTAAATGGAAGGTAGCAATAATGCATTAAAAAGTTCAAGACAAATCGGAAAAAATGGCACTAAAGAGAAGTTTGAACGTCGTTATGTGTTCGAACCGTGTCCAATGCGTAACACAGGGGTACCGCCAAAAGGGCAAACCGCTCGGAATGAGGGAATTATTTGAAACGACCAGTCGCCGTTGAGCCTTTGTGCGAACCTTGTTTGAATCTGTTTTTTTTTTCGATTGGGTTTGAAAAAAGTTGAAAAAAGTTTCTGAATCGAATTAAAGCTGGAACTGAAACAATAACCGATTTTTTGTGTGAGATTGAAAATCTTTCTTTTTTTGAGATAGTGTAGGAGTTCTTGTAATATGATCACCTGAAGTTTCCAACTTTGCCTAATGAAGCGATGAGTGAAACAATTTGAATAAAAACTCTTCATATATAAAAAAATAAGCTGAAGTGGTCCCTCAATAATTTCTACTGATTATACAGAAAGAAAAATACATCTCATCAAGTTTTACACACACAAAATAATAAACTACAGGCGGAAGTTCGATCTGGTGTACAACAGGAAGGATAATTCCGCCGCAAACACTCTTTCTCTTTTTTTAATGTTTTTTTGGTTGGCAGGTCTTGAAATAAGCTCAAATTTACTTCCACTGAGACCCCCTGAAAGGGCATTTTTCCATGGGACTTGCACATTTAAATTCAAGAAAAAACACTGTCAACATAATGAAATTAATTGAGGGATTTTTTGGATTACGAAATTCCGCTAAAAAAAATTGAACGAAACTTGCATTCCTGCTGAAAAATTTTCAGTTCGTCTGAAAAATTGTAAAAAAAAAGAGTTTTATTAAACTATGAATTTGGGAAGATCAGTAATTTTCTCACAAACTAAGAGCAAAAAGCGCAAGTAGGAATCGGTCAGACGCATCGTTTACTGAAACAATTGATGCTGTATGAATCGGACTGTCGGATGAGTGTGCACTGGTGTACACAAAACACCCAGTACGCTACTACCCCTCATTCCGGCTTCTTTTTTTTTCATTCTGATCATTTGCTCCGGTTTGAAAGGACGGGAGTTCATTAATATTATTTACTTTGAACTTTGTTAGTGGGTTTTTTTTGCCAATTTGAGCTTCGAGCTCAGGAGCTCACTGTGAAAAGCAAGAAAAAGCACGAAATTCCAGAAAAAAGAGATCCTTCTTGAATCCTTTAAAACGCCTCACAACAGTCGTTTGATTTTGAAGAATCTTTTGAGCTTCTGGTAAAAGGATTATGTGACGAAACGCCAAAAAACCAAAAAAAATTGCTTGAGTTTGACTGAAAACTGAATGGAACGAAGCTCAAAAATTAGCTGGGTAGAAAACTCTGACATTTGAGACTTATGAAATTTCCCATTTTCATTTTTTTATTTCACTCAAAATTTTCAATTTTTTTCTCTTGAATAATTTTTTTTCAGCCATTTGTCAAAGGTTTCAATTATGAAAAGCTGGAACCCTGGTTCTTTTATTCCAGAAGCTATCAACTCCTTGAAAAAAAGCGTTTTTTACAATTGCAAACAAGACGAAAAGTTTACGCAATTATCTTATTCAGGTAGTTGTTGTCCTGTAGGGTACCTCCTGTAAATCAAGACCGGAATAAAATCGTGCAAAATTCACAAATCTTATTGAGAAACCAGCCAGCCAGCTAAGAAATTTGAGGGCTGGAAATTGAGCTGGATAAGCGGAAAAATAGAGATTGAAATTACTTTCAATTTTCTGCCGATTCTAGAAATCGGCTTATAAACAGCCATGCACTGGTCAAAATACGCGCGAACTACCTGATAATTAGACTAGTACAAGGGGAAATCTGGTTGCGAAAGGAAGCGGAAAGTTCAATTTTTGTTTTGGCGTTTGAAAGGTCAAGTAGGTAAATCAACCTGAAAGTTGAATATCTATGTGTTACTCGAAACGACATAAAAAGTAAAATTTATACTCATACCAAGGTAAAGTAGTCTCCAACCACATTGCATTTGGAGAAAGAAAGTGATAAATTCATTTTATTCCAACGAGCAGATGCTAATGAAAATAAAATGTTTTTCATAGTTTTTGTAGAGATTCCCAGAAATCCTCTAGCTGAAATTTTAACAGTTTCGATAAGAGTTAATTTAAAATCTGCAACGGAGAGTTATGAGCAACTGGTTCACTCAAACGTTTATAAAACGAGATCGTCAGGATATTTTCCTTTAGGTCTCCCGACCAGAAACGGCTTGCGCTTCGTGGTATCAGGATTTATAGGCTCTCATTTCCTGGCTGATTCCCATGCAGACCTTTTTTCGAGACGGTTTGCCGTTCAAACTGGACGGGGTAAGTTAATAATTCAATTTTCTGGCTTGAAACAATACACCGTTTGTAAAACATGGATAAATTGTTCATAAAAACTTAAGAAAAATCAAAGTTTATTATATTCTCTTCTTATGAGTCATATATCCATACGTTTTTTTCCATATGACCGCATATCTACTATTTCAAGTCGTATTGGAGATTTAAAAAGAAATAGCCCTGTTAGTTTTTTTCTCAGTTTTTTGAATGAGAAGATTTTTTTTAAGATAGGTCTACTCTCTATTGGATCTACTCTTACCAGCACTGCTGCTCGGAGAGTTCCTTTCGAGGTGATGAGCGTGATGAGGTTTACTTTTCAGTGACAGATGCCGTGAACAGTACCCTCGTCGCTGAGATTCCTGAAAATCCATTCGATGGATTAAAAGGAGGAAACTTTGAGAAATTCAAAAAGGTTCTTGGAACTTATTAATTTGTTTTTTTAAACATACAGAAATTATTTCAAGCATCAGTTCTGATTTCTTAATTAAAAAAATTCAGATTTACAGGGGAAAAAATCTGAGAGTTTGAACCTTCTTTTTTTAACATGGGATGCTCTGAAAAATTTTCCGCCTAGTAGAGATTGAGACGTTGTAATTCTTCTTAGAACTATGAGATTCAGGAAAATAAAACTTTGAAGGTTTTTCCAGTTCATTGGAATGATTTTTCGGCAGGACTTTCAAAAAAGTTAAAGTTTCGAGTGAAATTACCTTCCTGGTGGAATTATAAAAAATATTTCTCTGGATAAGTAAGCGCAATCTCAAACTTGGAGAGAAAAATTTGATTTCCTATGTTTTCCCAACGATTACAACTAAACGACGGAGAAAAGAGGAAGATGGTGGACAATTTGGAGAAACGACCTCTGAAACAGTGTCGCATGACTTGGACATTTGACTTTTTCGCCAGTTTTTCCGTCCAATAACATTCCAGACGCGCAACGCTATTTAAGGTATGTTATCAATCAATCTTTGTATTTTTTGTTATTTCGTCTTCTCCTTCTTCTTTTTTATTCTTTGTCACTTGGCGCGGGACTTTGTGTGTTTGTGTGGGTGACAGTGTAAAACTGAAATGCGTTGAAAGTTTGCATGTCTGCGGTAGGTAGAAGAAACTGTTTTTGAGCAAATTCCTCGAAAAGAAATTTTTTTTTGAAGCTCGCAAGTCTGAACTCGGGTTCAAATAGTATAAATGTAATTTTAGTCCTAATTTTAGCCACAGAACATCAAAAAAATTGTCAATCTTGTGGTTTTGAAAGTCTCAATTTCTTGCTGTTTTTTTAAATCGCTTGCTTCAAACATTTGCTTACGGTAGGAATTATATAATTCAGATGTCTCAAATTTTCGATTGATCGATGCAGTTCGAATTCGGCATCTTCACAACTTAAATGTCATTGATTTGCGGAAGATTGCTGTTTCAAATATCCGATTGCGTCTTTGAGATTTTCCGAAGCAAAAATTCGACGGCTCAATGCAATTTTTTCCCAATTTTATTTATATTTACTTAGCTCAAAAATATTCAATGAAGAACTTGAAGAAGTTTTCAACAATCTTCACAACCGCCTTGAATAGCTGTGTTCCAGCTGAACACTTTCAAACACAACAGCAAGGACTTGGGAGATTGTTTTAACCTTTCTTCATTTTTCTATTTCTTTTAAAACTGCAGAGACCGAAGTACAAACCTTATTGCAACCATCCTTCGAACACAGCCGCCGCCACTGTTTCCCGTTGAACTTTTTACGGATGCCACACTGAGTGGTGACAATTTCGCCTTTCCGATAGCGCTGCTGTAAATTTTCACTTTCGGTTTTTATACCGTAAAATAAAAAGGAACCTTATACACCCATTAAGATAATCAATATTCAAACTTTTCATGAATAAGTTGTGACAAATTTCATCAAAAATTTTTTTTGAAAAAAAGGCATAATATTTTCTCAGCTAGAGGGGTGTAAATTTTGATGGCATCTTCCCACGACTTTAAAAAGTCGTACAACTGAAAGTTTTTCAAGGATCTTCGTTTTAACGAATCCAATAAGTATTTGTTCGCAAAACTCTCCAGAGAATTTGAAGGATGAATATTTCGATTTTCCAATTTCAAACTCAAAAAATCTTTTTCAATCGCTCATTGAAAGACAAAACAACATCTTTCTGTTCTCTGGATCTCAAAAAACCAATTTTTCACCTGCGGCTGAAACATCGAAGAAGATGTGGCTTCTGAAGTGTCGTCAAAAGCACTGGTTTCGTGTGGAGGTACAAAAATCTTCCTCGAAACAGGTGTCGTTTGAAAACCTTCGGCCGATGGTGAAACTTCTGTCTGGAAAAAATTGAATATAAAAGGAAAGCACGAAGAATTCTGAAAGGCGAGCTACCGTAGACTTTGAGAAAAAAGCGGGTTGCTAGACGGCAAAGCCGGAAAACAGCTTCTTGACAACCTTGCGTGCTCCACCTCTTACTCTCTCTAGAAGGATTACCGTATGCCGCAAATGCGTACAATGGGCTCAGCATTAACGCATCAATACTAGTCTTAAGAAAGGGAAGATAAGGAAAAAACGCCTTACACGAATCATTTTGTTAAAGAAGAGATTTGGATATTTTGGTTTGCTTACGATACTTCAACCTTAAAGATGAGGAACAATGAATTTCCATTAGCCAACGCATAATGGAGACTGGATATTGTCACGTTCACTTGCGTAATGAAGATGAGAGAAGATTTAAGCTTTTCTTAAAAAGTGTCTACAGAGTTCGATTTTTAGCCATTAGTGAAGGAAAGTTATATGAAGGTTTTGAAAAGGAAACTTAAGAGTTTCAATAGGCACTAGCTTCAGAAAATGGAAGTTCTTTCGAAATTGTACTGAATCGTTTCAGAAGAGATTCAAACACGGAAAAAAATCCCAGCCTCCAAGAACACAAAAAACAAAGCTTGAAAACATATTTCTTCAAATCCTTGATATCCAATCTCACGGCTATAAAATGATAGAATCACAACTAAGCTTCCGATTGGAGATTGGACTTTAAACAGCTGAGAAACAGGAAAACTGATCAGAATAAGTGAAGAAATTCTATTTTACTATGTGTTTCCCACGGCTACTTTTTCAGTCATTGGAAAAACCACAAAAGCTGGGAAAAAATTTGAAAAAAAGTGGGAGTAGAAGCTTTGTTTGGAGTCTCAGCTATTAATAATATTTCTTTTGGGATTTTTTCGATTCTCAGATTTGCAACTCATCTTGTTGAGGCTACAACTGAAGGGCTGTTTCATTACAAAATTCAGTCTTGTTTGTTCATAAGGTCACAGTAAGAACGGAAATGATTTGTAACTCGGGTGAATTTTCAGGAACTTCTCCTTTTGGAGCTCTGTATCTCTTATTCATTACTAGTGTAAGAAAATAAAAAAAACTTGTTGAGAATTTTTTATAGTCAGTGGGGAATAAACTATGAAGTTATTTTTAAGTTTTCAGGAATTTTTTAGATTTGAGGGAATAAGCTTTAAATATTTTTGATAGTTGTAGGAAACGAACCTGCTGCTGGCCGCTCGGTGGCTGGGAGGGTCCAGGGAGTTCCTCGTCGGAGTCGATGCTTCCGACCGCGGACGACTTTTTCGAACCGCCGCTTCCGTCCAGCCTGAGCTTGTTGAATGAATCTCAACCCTTAATCCATGTCAAAAGGCCATTTCTCATCACAAGAACAAACTTTTTTCACCTGTCATCCGGTTGACTCGAATTTTCCCAAATCATTGAAATTTTTTAGTTTGTTTCAACAGGTGTAAATTTCGTCTGTAGTTATTTCAGGAATTGCAAATTACAATCCTGTGACGCGAACCGGCCAAATGTTTTTTTCGTGAAACGTAGTCATTTTTTTCATATTAACATCTGCTTCAATTAACTTTTTTCCCTTAGAGGAAATGGACTAGATGACGTGATGTTACTACCAACCACATGACAAAGCTCCAGCTTATTGACCACACGTCACTTCTCAAGAATAAAAAGAGGTTTAAGGCTTTTCCGAATAAGTTGACCAGGTTTTTAAGGCCAAAGAATGGCACACGTCATGTTTATTGTGCCTTAGCGCGCGGGATAATGGGAAAGAACTTGCGCCTTAATCCGCCTTATGAGCTTATCAAAAACAACCCAAGGCTTTATGAGGTTGCTTGGAAATGATACCTAGGGTAAGTTAATGATAAAAAAATCTTTTTGGAAAAAAATTCTTCCAGAGAATCAATATTTTTCTCAAAAATAAGGAAAAAAGTGTAGATCCTTTCAGAATTTGGAAAAATCTCAGAGTCAAAAAAACGATGATGATTATGGTCTCAAAGAGCTTCTTTTTTTTAAATTTTATAGCCTTTTCTTCAAAAATTTTTGAAGTTGAGAAAAAAAACTGAGAAGTTTTCTGGTGGAAGTATGGTCAGAACTGCTTCTAAATGGGAAATTCACAGGCATTTTTTTAATTTTTGATGATCGCCTAGGTGATATGAAACCTGAGGGAAAAAAATTTTTTTGTTAAAACTGGAAGGCCTTTTTTTGATATTTTTTTCCCAAAAAAATTTATTTATTAAAACATTCAATTTTAGCAATATTCGAGTCTCATGGATCATTTCAACCAACAAAAAAATTACGCCATCATCAGTGCTCTTTTTGGAATGCATCTGACCAAATACGGTTCGCGCTGAACTTCATCAAAAACAAAGGAAATATTCTTTTTTTCTGTTTGTTCTTTTTTTTCGGATTTTTGTGAAAGTTGCTTTTGAAATGATAGTGTCCATGTCCAGGACAAATTAACTGATTCGTTATAAAATCTGGTGGTTTTTTTTCGTAACAATTAGAGGTAAGTTAAGAAATCTGAAAGTGAAATTTCAGTTTTTTTCAACTCACGGAGCAGGCTGCGATGAGACGACCGCGGCTGCGGTTTGTTGCAACTGTTGGAATCTTTGTTGTTGTTGTTGCAGGGCTATCAAAAGAAGATTTTCAGGAAGCATTCCATTGCCGTTTGGCAACAGAGGAGATGGTAGTATAGAAGGTGTCGTTGCAGCACTAGCACTGAAAAATCATAATATTAATTTGAAGGAGAACTTTTTTCAGCTTTTTTGCTTGAAAAAATGACAAGATGATAGCAAAATATACTTTTTTTGAAGAACTTCTCAGTTTGAGACAAACATTTTTCACTTCAAGCGTTTCTGGCACTTCTAATTTTTTTTTCGGCGCAGTTTTCACAGAGTTATTCAGGACTTATTAGAAACTTTTAGAGGTTTTTAAAATCTTCAAAGCTCTTTCCTAAAACCCGGTTCCAAATTTTTTTCATGTTCTTCGGACGCTGAATCAAATTTCTACGTGTTTTCGACATTTTCAGTTTAGTTAGATCAGAGCAGCTGAAAAAAGCTATTTCTTGAATCTGAAAGCTGGAAGTTTTTTTCTATATATACAATACCTTTTTCTCTATGAAACAGTATAGTAATTTAGTCTCTCACCTTGTATTGGTTGTCGTTCGTAGTTCTTGCATCAAAATCAATTCTTCGTACCAAGGTGGGCGCAATAATCGGAGACTCGCTCTAGTTACCGTATTTTCAGAATCAGAAGACGTCGCTCGTACCTGAAGATGTTCATGATCTTTTCCAGAGTCAGATATTCGCAAAAATACCACATATTTCGAAGGATTCCCGTAAGAAGAAACAAGCTCGGCAGTTCGATACACGCTGTTGTCGGCTGGCGACCTTACACATACGATGGTCTTGCATTTGATCTTAAATTTTTCCCTTTGAAAATGACAAATTGAGAAGAAGTTTAACATCCGATGGACTTGGCGCTTGATCGGCTATGATTTGAGTCCAATTGCACTCAATCATGATGTTGTCGTACCGAACGTCCCGACCATCGTCTAGCTGGAAAAAAAGTCGAGTGAAAAATGCTAATTTCGCATCAATTTTTTTGAGTTGGAACATAAAACAATTTTAAAAATTGCTGATTTCCAAGCCGTCCTAATCAAATATTACTCAGGAAGTAAACAGAAAACAGAAGATCAACTTGGTTTCTGGTTTTGAACTTGTTCTTTTTGCTCATTCTGGTCGTCAATCTTCAAGAAAGTCTCATAGTACCGTGATCACGATCTCAAATGATACCGCCCAATGGCTTCCAAACTACTTCGATTAGGCAAAAAGCTGGGTAACTCCGAATTCGAAAGGTATAACAGAATTTTAAGCTCAGAAAAGTCATAATAAACTCAGATCTATTTGTTTACCGAGTAACAATGAGTTCAAAGAGACTCATCTTTCAAAACTTTTTTTGCATCAAATATTCTCTCTAGACCTCATCACCATCAATCTGATTTTTGATTGAAAGAGGGTTAATGAGTTTCAATATTCTAAGCCGGAAAACGGACTTGAATGGTGATGTCGCGGTTCTCGTTGACTTTTTTGACTCGGCCCTGTTGGTAGGTGCCGGCAGGAACTCGAGCAAGCACTCGATGACCCACCCAGTCGGACAGAACAACGCTGCTTGAAGATTCTTCCGAACAGCCTGAAAAGTTATGATTGAGATAAAAAAAAAAAAAAAACAAGCTCCATCCATTGATTTTGACAAAAAAATCTCACGTGCAGAGAGCGGCTTTTGGATGGCTAAAGACCGCAGGAGGTCGTTTTGAAAAAGGTTGGTTGGAAATCGAAACGCTCCGATTGGACTTGGCTGCGGGGCGGAATCTGAAGAAGAGCCGTTTGTTAAGTTTTTCAAACTTTGAGCTTCTTTTTACTTGTTCAATATGGATCAAATTACTCAACCTTTCAGCTTTTTTTCTTTTTTGTGGAAAAAATTCAACCCTGCCAAACGTTTCCTGTTTTCAAAGCCTACAATTCACTAATTGAAGAAGTTTGCTGCATTTTTAGTATTTTTGAGGCTAGCATCTTCCAAAAACGCAAACTCACGACTAGATGAAGCTTCGTCAGCTCCCGGGAGCCGGAACGCCGGCGACAAAACGTTAGGCTGTGATTGCAACGGAACCGTGGTCTGGAAAAGAAAGGAGTTCCTTTAGAGGGCATTTTTTAGTTCTGTTGATGAAACAAATTTTTTTTCAGAAGATCATGTCACCTCATCAGTGATGTATACAGGTTTATGAATTTTTTTCAATGAGATAGTTTTATTTACAACGATAACTTCCTTTTGTCTGTAGTTTTTTTGTATGTAATTTTTTGATATTTCTTAAGCACTTCCTGTTCGCGAATCCCATTCAGATTGCCCATTTCCCTCTCCTCAAATATCAGGTCAAAATAATCTTCATTCGAGTTGATTTGGCCATTGGAAGGGAACAAAAATCAACAAGAAGGTCAGCCCAAAACGAAGAGAAAAAGGCAAACCTGCTTGGGCGCTGCGTCCTCTTGATTTTCCATCGAGTTGATCTGGGAAATTCTTTGCAAACTTCCTGGAACAAAAAAAGGTTCATTTGGAATATGTGAACAACTTGAACTTCAATTGAGTGTCAAATTGTGTTCATTACAGTTAGTAAGTGCGAAAAGTGCCATTTTTTTCTCAATAAGCTGATTTTACAACTCTGTTTAGAAAAGTGAAAATTACTTTAGTTATGAACTAATAAATGTACTGGATAACCGCTCCTCTTTTCACTATGTTTTGAGATAAAAAAAACTTGATCTTTTTTTTTCAAATTTCAATTTTTTAGTTCAACCTGAATGAATATTATTAAAATTTTAACTGGAAAATTGAAAACTATAGTTATTTTTAATGCTGTATGAAAAATATATCACCTGCGGCAATTGCTGCATGGGAAGCCGCCGGGAGGAGAACTTTTATCGTGCGCTCCTAATACAAGCTCATTTTCGTTTGAATAATCGTCCTCCTCCGCGAGGTCCCAACACCTCCTTTGTTCTTCTGAAAAAAAAAATGAAAACTCGGTTTTTCAAGTCGTTAAACGACGAGGCATATCAGAAATCGGAAGTAAATAGACGATTATAAGGATCGGAAGAGAAATTTTTTGATAAGACAAGAGAATTGGCAAGGAAACTTTTAAAAAATGGAGCTCGATAGGTTGATAGAGAGTAAGGTTTGAAGAAACGATTTTTGAAAAGTAAAAAGATTGAAAGCGGTTCGGAAAGGGTAAAAGATGAATAAAATCTCGATTTGAAATCTCTCAGCATTCTTCTGTAAAGTTTGGTCAACACTCTTTTTCCGGAAAAAGAAAACTTCTGCACTTTTCTCGAAGTCCGACCCAGTTAAAGACCTGAAATTCCACAAATGACTTATTGAAAGGTTTCTTTCAGTGAGGAACTCAATAAGGATTAAGTCAAGTAAAGCCTTTCAATAAGTTAGGAACTTCAAAACAAGGAAGTTTCAAGGTGTTTTAAGGAAGAAGTGCCTGAAAAAAAAGATGAAAAAAAAGCTAGAAAAATAAGCATCATTGTATTGAAAAACGTCAAGCTCATACAAAGGTGAATTAACCTGTAATTTCAATCTTCTCTGCATTGACCTCAAAAAATAAGGGAAACTTCAAGAAAAACAATGTTTCTCGCACAAAATTAGAGAAAAATGATCACTGAGCCTGTTTTTTGATTGAAAATTTAGCAATACTGTGGAATTCTTCAAGGAATGGTTTTTTTTTCGGTCTTTCTTAGGTATAATGACCTTTTTCAAATCATAAAATGAGGACTTTGGCTTGGGAATTTGTTCAAAAAAAACTAATTCCATGAAAATTCAGCTCAGAAGAAGGCGTCAGCTGATAGCGTGAAATTTAAAAGTTTCGATTTTCTTACGCCTAAGGCTACGGTAAGGCAAAAAAAGAAATAGAAAACGACATTTGCGTTTTTTTCTTACAAAAAAAGATAAAAAGTGTGCTACGGTTCGAAATTGGACATAGAGAAATAAAAAAAAATTTTTTTGTGATGAAAAAAAGTTTTTCACATAATTTTGCAAAAGAGAACTTAATCAAATCGGTGATTTTGTACAGTTCAAAAAAACACCGAACCAATTACCTCAATTTTTTCCGAGAAACAAATAAAAAGAACGTAACTGACGCTTATTAACATCCCTTTACGAGAGACACGGCAAATTGTAACATCATTTTTTTCTTCTTTTTTCCGTTGGGAAGAAAAAAAGACAAAGAGAGAACATATTGATGTTTTCCTATTGGGGAAATAGTGCCGAAGCCTGTTCCAGTCGTAAATTTGGTTAGTATTGAAGTTAAAAAAAAAAGATTAATTTTTTGATTTGTTATCTTAGTTACGGTTACATAAATGCGCCCGACCAAAAACGACTTCTGTGCACATGGTTTCAAAACCTTGAAGTCAGCGATACCGCGTAATCATTCTTCTGCGACTAGAGTTTTCCCGCCATTTCATTTAGAACTATAAGCGTAAGGACGATTTTTTTTTGTGAGCTCATCCCAACATCAGATGAATACAAACTCCTTATAGCAGGAAATTCGTCAAAGTTGAAGATCAGATTAAAAATTAATTTGGTTGTGTCAAATTGCGAAATATCAAACATCTGATTGATCGGAGCAAGAAAAGAAGCTCATAAAAGTGCGTACGCATGCCAAAAGGGAAAATGAGCAGCACGTGGCTATAATGGACGGTTCGGCGACAGGTCATAAGATAAGTACGCAAAAACTTTGTTTCTACAAGAAATAAATTAATAGAAAGTAGGAATACAAATTTATGTACGGCTTCAGGAGACAGACGAGCCTCACCGAAGTAGGGCAAATGAGTCAGTTGTGAGTGTTGCGTGAGGCGAGAAAATTTAGAAAAAAAGGAACATGCCAAAAGAATATGGCGAGAAAAAGGAAAAGAAAAAACGACAATAGCGAGAAAAAGCAACCACAAACTATTGTAAAACCGGCAAATCGTGTCGATTTTGCTTTTCAATTGACGGGTTTTTTACATGGCAAAGGTGAGGATGGCGAAGGAATTTTCCATGAAGACAGATTGGAATAAATCGAAGACTCATTCCCAGATCCCGTAGGTTCACAGGTTCGATTCCTGAGAAAGAAATAGAATGAATAAAACTTTTTATTTTTTTGGAAGTTTTTTTGGACTATTTATTTTTTTCGAGGACTCCTCATAAAACGATAAAATGTTTTTACAAAAAGATGTGGGAAATCAAATTTAAAAAAAGAATTTTTAGACGCCCAAGCTCCTGAAATCTTGGAAACTAAAAAAATGAAAAAAATATTTTTCAAAAAAAGGCTCCAAAACACAAGTGCGAAAAAAATAAAAAAAGAACAATGAGAAAAAAACATGCACTCTCCTGATTATTGTGGGTGTTTTATGGCGTAAAATTATAGAAAAAAAAACGAGTCTGTCTTGAGAACATGAAGTTCTTATTTCCAAGTCCCAAGTTCTTTCTTCTAAACCTGCGCATTCCAATCCATTCAACACAAAGTTGGTGAACTTGCAAACGGACTTTCACTTCTTCCACCTTTTTTCTACTCTGAAAAAAAAATAAAAGCGAGTCGATAATCCGACAAAATTCGATCCCACGCGAACGCTCTTTCCGGTAATCGCAAAAGGCTAATGGAGTACTCTCCCTTCAAAAAAAAACCATTTCATTGTTTGATCTTTCTCTCTTTTTATTATCTGGAAACGTACGACGCATAGATAAACGATGTGACTCAGTAAAGTTAAACTGTTCAGTTTTTATTCGTTTTGAGAGAGAAATGGTCAGGGCAGTTAGGAAGAACATTTTTTGACTTTATGACGTCATTATTTAATTGCATGATGTTACTTTTAAGAGTGAGATCTTATAAGATTTCTAAGAATCAAAGAAGAGTTTTTTGTCTCATCTATTCAAAATTAAGTTCACGGTTGGAAATTCTATGAAAACTTGTCAGAATATCCCTTAAAGCACCAAGTTAAGATTCTGGGAGTATCAACTTATCAACGTCCTATCTAAAAAAACTTTCGAAGGTTTAATCTTCTTCTGGTAATAAAAAGGAGAGTTCTGACCAATTTTCAAGAAACTCCCAACTGCAAAGTAAAATTTCTTTCCTTGTTAGAAAAAATTGAAAATCAGCTGAACGTTCTCATTATTATCATACTTTATAAGTTCGATTTGTTGGTTCCTTTTGAAAAAGCTAGATTCGAAAATGATAGGAAATTTTCTAATCAAACAAATTTTTGAAACTCGCAAATTTTACCCGAAAAAGACAGTAAAATAAGTTATTTGCAAGAGAAAGTAGCCGATGCATGATGAACGCCACCAAATTACGCTATCAGCTGGTTGAAGCTTTTATTCGGCGACAAACAATCTTACGAGTTGATCGAGTGACAGCTGAAGCCCACTATTGTATTGATTAAGCACACAAAACTCCTGGCGACCTTTTTTTTCCAGTGAAGGCAAGGCAAACTGCAAAAATGTGTGACTCAATTGGTTGAAAAAAAAAGTTAGAGAACTTTTCATCATTTGAATAAAAATTGACAAAAAGTAAGAAGAGCACAGGTAATTGAGAAAATAGATGAAAAAGAAGGCTACGACAAAAAAAAACTGCTTATTTTGGATCATAGGTATTTTCAATCGACATGGTTAGTAGTAACTTGAAATTTTTGATCTTTCAGGCTAATAATTCTTGAAAAACTGGAAAACTATCAAAAAATAGGATTATTTCAACAAATTTCATATAAACGTGTTCAAGCTTTTTCAGTTTTTTTCAACGAGTCTTGATTTCAAATAACTTTCTTCAATAATTAGAAGATTTATCAAAACAGTTATTTGAAAATTAAAAAAATATCAATTCAAAAAGCTGTCTAAAAAAACATAATTCAATTATAATATTATATCCCATTTTTTTGTTAGAAACTTACAACTTGCATCGAATACGCCAAAATGTTTGTTCAAAAACCCATACGGCACTGGAAAACCTGTGTAAATACGATAAGACTTACTCACTCCGATGATTTTTTTAGCCTTTTTCTAGCATTAAAAATTACTTAAAAATTACAAGAGTTTTCATTCAGAAAAAACTTCTGATTCGTCCCCTCAAGAATCCATCCGGTTTGTTTTACGATCCATCGTTTTCAGGCCTTTTTTATCAACTTGCCCTTACGCCAGCGGTATGTGTTTATCGACTTTTATTGAGTTTTCCTAATGAGATAAGAAATGAAACTGATGTGTCGGATGATTAGAAAAGAGGTACAAAAATCGCCACAGGCAAAAAAAAAGCCGAAGAATGGTCCCTACAATAGTTGTTTGCGTTATTCCTGAATGGCATTAGTTGCACCGCTGTCATTTTCCGCGTTTCTCTTTCGAATCGAGCACAAAAGTCGAAAAAACGTGTAATTCTCTGATAAGGGCTCTTTTGGCCTGACCATCGAAAACAACTCTCGGCCAGGGAGTATGATTTCAGCGGTTTCGACACAAAATAATATGTCGCGAATGGTTTCGATTGGAGCTTTTGAGGACTGGCGACTGCAAATCACTTGAAAATTGCGATTTTCTAGAGAAAAGGCGGGATTTCACAACAATTTTTGTTCTGTGTTTCATTTATAAGCTCTTCCTGGGTTCACAGACGACAGTGAAACGATTTTTGAAGTTTTAAAAAGTTTTTTAGCTCACGCAAACGAAGATAATTAAAACTGAATCACACGAATTCTAGAATTTTGAACAAATTGAAAAAAAGAAAACTAAACTTCAAAAGTTATTTTCTCAAATGCTATCCGAGTTTCTGACAAGTTTTGAAGTTTTTATTTTGTTAGCACAGGTCCTTCTCTATCATATGGCATTAATACTTCATTTCATAAACACACAGAAACTTAGAAAAAAATAGCCTCATTCGATTTGATGGAATATTTTTTTGAAACATAAAAATATTTCTTTAACTGCTAGCTTTTTATAAAAAATATAACAATAACAGCCTGTAAATTTGATTTTTTTATTGTAAATTGAAAATTAGATCCTAGCTTTTTCTTATTATTTTAAGCTCTTCCCTGAAAAGGTAAAAAGAGAAAAAAATCATTCAGAAAAGGTTCTCATAAAAATTCCGGAGAGAAAGAAAATATTTAAGAAAGTCAGTTCAATAAGGAGCTTCTTTGAGAAAAAAACCGTCATCAACTGATTTTTTTTGCTATTTTTTGAGATTTCCTACCTATTCAAAACCGATTTTTTTAAAAAGAATTGTCAACATCAACGTCTTAGTCTTCCAACTACAGCTGCAACTTGTGCAGGTCCCGAATTACTCATAAAATCTTAAAAATCCGATTCAAACTGTTCAAGATGTACTTCCAACTGTCAAACTTATCAGAACCAAATCAATAAGTAATCTAAAAAGGAAAAGACCGAAAACCTCTCGAAACCAGAACGTTAGTCCAGCGTTTCTTGAAAAACCACACCCTATAAACTTTCGCCCCCTCTCCTCGTTGCCGCCAAACCAACACATACGCAAACACACACGCACATGCATTTGAACGCGAACGGAAAGTGAAACCAACTTGCTCTTTTCCTTTTTTGGAACGTTTTTTCTTCTCCTTTTCTTC